ACAGATCAACCAGACAGAAAATCAACAAGGAAATCCAGGACTTGAATGCAGATCTGGACCAAGCGAACTTAATAGACATTTACAGAACTCTCAACCCCAAATCCACAGAATATACATTCTTCTCAGCACCACATCACACTTACTCTAAAATTGACCACATAATTGGAAGTAAATCACTCCTCAGCAAATGCAAAAGAACAGAAATCATAACAAACAGTCTCTCAGACCACAGTGCAATCAAATTAGAACTCAGGATTAAGGAACTAACTCAAAACTGCACAACTTCATGGAAAATGAACAACTGGCTCCTGAATGTTGACTGGATAAACAATGAAATGAAGGCAGAAATAAAGATGTTCTTCAAAACCGACAAGAATGAAGACACAACATACCAGAATCTCTGGGACACATTTAAAGCAGTGTCTAGAGGGAAATTCATAGCAATAAATGTCCACATGAGGAGCAAGGAAAGGTCTAAAATCAATACCCTATCATCAAAATTGAAAGAGTTAGAGGAGCAAGATCAAAAAAAAACTCAAAATCTAGCAGAAGACAAGAAATAACTAAGATCAGAGCAGAACTCAAGGAGACAGAGACACAAAAAAAACCTTCAAAAAATCAGCAAATCCAGGAGCTGGTTTTTTTTAAAAAAATCAACAACATAGATAGACCACTAGCCAGACTAATAAAAGAGAAAAGAGAGAAGAATCGAATAGATGCAATAAAAAAAAAAGGTAAAGGGGACATCAACATCAATTCCACAGATATACAAACTACCATCAGAGATTACTACAAACAACTCTATGCACACAAACCAGTAAATCTAGAAGAAATGGATAAATTCTTGGACACTTGCACTCTCCCAAGACTAAACCAGGAAGAAGTTGAAACCCTGAATAGACCAATAACAAGGGCTGAAGTTGAAGCAGCAATTCATAGCCTACCAACTGAAAAAAGCCCAGGTCCAGATGGGTTCACAGCCAAATTCTACCAGATGTACAAAGAGGAGCTGGTACCATTCCTTCTGAAACTATTCCAAACAATACAAAAAGAGGGAATCCTCCCCAACTCATTTTATGAGACCAACATCATCCTAATACCAAAACTGGGCAGAGACACAACTAAAAAGAAAACTTCAGGCAAATATCCATGCTGAACATCGATGCAAAAAATCTTCAATAAAATGCTGGCAAACTGAATACAACAGCAAATCAAAAAGCTTATTCATCATGATCAAGTAGGCTTCATCCAGGGATGCAAGGCTGGTTCAACATATGCAAGTCTATAAACATAATCCATCACATAAACAGAACCAGAGACAAAAACCACATGATTATCTCAATAAATGCAGAGAAGGCCTTCAACAAAATTCAACAGCGCTCTATGCTAAAAACCCTCAATAAACTAGGTATGGATGGAGCATATCACAAAATAATAAAAGCTATTTATGACAGACTCACAACCAATATCATACTGAATGGGCAAAAACTGGAAGCATTCCCTTTGACATCTGGCACAAGGATGCCCTCTCTCACCACTCCTATTCAATATAGTATTGGAAGTTCCAGCCAGAGCAATCAGGCAAGAAAAAGAAATAAAGGGTATTCGATTAGAAAAAGAGGAAGCCAAATTGTCTTGATTTGCAGATGACATGATTATATATTTAGAAGACCCCATTGTCTCAGCCCAAAATCTCCTGAAACTGATAAGCAACTTCAGCAAAGTCTTGGGATACAAAATCAATGTACAGAAATCACAAGCATTACTATGCACCAATAACAGACAAACAGAGAGCCATATCAAAAGTGAACTCCCACTCACAATTGCTACAAAAAGAATAAAATACCTAGGAATACAACTAACAAAGGATGTAAAGGATCTCTTCAAGGAAAACTCCAAACCACTGCTCAAGGAAATAAGAGAGGACACAAACAGATGGAAAAACATTTCATGTTCATGGTTGGGAAGAATCAACACTGTGAAAATGGCCATACTGCCCAAAGTAATTTATAGATTCAACGCTATCCCCATCAATCTACCTATGACCTTCTTCATAGAACTGGAAAAAAACACTTCAAACTTCATATGGAACTGAAAGAGAGCCTGCAGAGCCAAAACAATCCTAAGCAAAAAGAACAAAGCTTGAGGCATCATGCTGCCTGACTTCAAACTATACTGCAAGGCCACAGTAATCAAAACAGCATGGTACTAGTACCAAAACAGAGACATAGACCAATGGAACAGAACAGAGTCCTTAGAAGCAACACCACACATCTACAATCTGATATTTGACAAACCTGAGAAAAACAAGCAATGGGGAAAGGATTTCCTGTTTAATAAATGGTGTTGGGAAAACTGGTTAGCAATGTGCAGAAAGCAGAAACTGGGCCCCTTCCTGATACCTTAAACTAAAATAAACTCCAGATGGATTAAAGACTTAAACATAAGACCTAACACTATAAAAACCCAAGAAGAAAACCTAGGCAAAACCACTCAGGACAGAGGCATAGGTAAGAACTTCATGACTAAACACCAAAAGCATTGGCAACAAAAGCCAAAATAGACAAGTGGGATATAATCAAACTCCACAGCTTCTGTACGGCAAAAGAAACAGTCACTAGAGTGAACCGGCAACCAACAGAATGGGAAAAAAATTTGCAATCTACCCATCTGACAAAGGGCTAATATCCAGAATCTACAAAGAACTAAAACAGATTTACAAGAAAAAAAAAAAAACCCATTCAAAAGTGGGCGAAGGATATGAACAAACACTTTCCAAAAGAAGATATCTATGAGGCCAAAAAACATAAAAAAAATGCTACTCATAACTGGTCATTAGAGAAATGCAAATCAAAACCACATTGAGATACCATCTCATGCCAGTTAGAATGGCAATCATTAAAAAATCAGGAGATAGATGCTGGAGAGGATGTGGAGAAATAGGAACACTTTTACACTGTTGGTGGGAGTGCAAGTTAGTGCAACCATTGTGGAAGACAGTGTGGTGATTCCTCAAGGACCTAGAAATGGAAACTCCATTTGACCCAGCAATCCCATTACTGGGTATATACCCAGAGAATTATAAATTGTTCTATTACAAAGACACATGCACACATATGTTCATTGCAGCACTGTTTACAATAGCAAAGACCTGGAACCAACCCAAATATCCATCAGTGATAGACTGGATAAAGAAAATGTACACCACTGAATACTATGCAGCCATAAAAAAAACGATGAGTTTGTGTCCTTCATAGGGACATGGATGAATCTGGAAACCATCATTCTCAGCAAACTGACACAAGAACAGAAAACCAAACACCGTGTGTTCTTACTCATAGGCGGGTGTTGAACAATTAGAACATGTGGACACAGGGAGGGGAGCATCACACACTGAGGTCAGTTGCCGGGGCTAGGGGAGGGACAGTGGGGGCTGGAGAGGGTGGGGAGGGATAACATGGGGAGAAATACCAGATATAGGTGATGGGGTATGAAGGCAGCAAACCACTTTACCATGTATGTACCTATGCAACAATCCTGCATGGTCTGCACATGTACCTCAGAACCTAAAGTACAATAAAAATATAAATAAAATAAATGAAGAAGTAATTCTCTTTTCAAATTTTCCTTTCTGCTCTGTTAGAGAGAGGAGTTCCTGGTGGAAGAAGATTTCAGATGGATTTCTTCTGAAGACACTGCTTTCCAAACCACTTTTCAATGGGAGGGATTCTTCTGGCACCTACAAAGGACTAATCCCAAGTCTTCCTGGGTCCCACTTTTCCAAGAAGTCAACAAAGATTCTCTCATTCCCATCCCCTCACTCACAGAATTTAGAAAACTCAAGCAAATTTCAAGCCCTTAGACAAGTTACTACAAGTAAAATCATGATGGCAGGACCAAGCCAAACACCATAACTGACATTTAGGAAACTTTTGAAAGAAAAAAAATAAATGGAAAATATATGGAAAAATTAGGTATGTATGATTTCGGCTTCACCAGCATACAGCAAGTTCTGCCAATTGTTTGGTGTCTTTTATCTATAAATACAAATTCAGCAGATAGACTTCATCTTCGAGGAGGCTCATGGTGATCGTTGCAAATTGCCTGCCCTCCAGACACTGACTTCAGTCCTTCCGCAAACTTGAGAAAATTGAATGAGATGTTTCTGCATCTCATTAGAGGCTCCCTTCTGCCTCTTATGATCTCTTCATTTCTGGCTCCCCAGGTGGTCCTGGCACCCCCATGCTGAAGCAAATATCAAGATCTGTCTCTACTATCAAGGAAGCGTGCCACATTTATTTTTAGCATTTTGTTTCCTGATAACTCCATTGGGGGTTTTCCCGTGCATTACTCAAGAAGAGGGAATATCCCTTGTAAAACAATCTCTTCCCTCTGGCACACAAAGGTCTTTATCCTTTTATAGATAAAATCCACCATCAGGCTGCTGTGGTTGAAGCCACAGTCTGAGTCTTTCAAATCCACAATGACAGAGTTTATGTTGTAAACACTCCCCAGCCAAGCTGACCCCACCTGGAGGGTGTAGATGGAGATTCAGATTCAGTTGGTTTGGGTTGGGACTTGGGCATCAGTAATTGTTTAAATCCACCTCCTCCCCAAGTTAATTTTAACATACAACCCAGGTTAAGGATCCCTGCTGATGAGATGCAGAAGGTGCTCTGTTCTTAGCCTCTCTCACCAGCATCAGCTACAGCCGTCATTCTCATGGGACACACAAGCTGCTGTGTCCCATGCAGAACAAGTGAGGCTGGAGATCCCACAGATCAAGGCTCAGCTCCCCACGCTGAGAATCTCCTTTTCATGCAAAACTCACAAGGTGCATTCTCAAAGATTTCCAGCCGAAATGTGCCATAAATATCAATTATCCTCCTCCATTCCTCAATTGTAATGCATATAAACATAGAGAATTAACAGCCATTGATACACATATCCACTGTGGGATGATTAAGCTAATTGATATAGCCTCCACCTCATATACTTACCTTTTTGTGATGAGAACATTTAAAATCTACTCTCGGCTGGGCATGGTGGCTCACACCTATAATCCCAGCACTCTGGGAGGCCAAGGCGGGTGGATCATCTGGGGTCAGGAGTTCAAGACCAGCCTGGCCAACATAGTGAAACTCCATCTCTACAAAAAAAAAAAAAATACAAAATTAGCCATGGGTGGTGGTGCACGCCTGTAATCCCAGCTACTCAGTACACTGAGGTATGAGAATTGCTTGAATCCAGGAGGCAAGCGTTGTAGTGAGGCAGTTTTAAAGAATATAATACATTATCATAGTCCTCAAAGTGTATAAATATCAAAGCATCATATTGTACACCATAAATATATTCATTTTTCCTTTGTTTATTAAAAATATAATTTAAAATTTTTTTAAAGAATAAACAGGCACATAGGAAGCAAATATCAGTTTCACTCATCTGGACGAGTTGTCAGCAACCCCTATTCACTCTCAAAAATACAAGAAGAGCTGGTATGGAGATCACACCTGGGTCTGGGGCCAAACAAGGCACTGCACCTACCTCTCCACAGGTGTGAAGACAGCCAGGTGCCCACTCAGCCGGGCGGGGGAGAGGAGACAGCAGAAGCCTACTAGGTGCACATGCGCCTTTAGAGCTATGCTTCAGGAACTCCAGAGAGGCTGAGGCATCCCCTCCAGCCACCCAGCACAGGGGGGCCCTCGGCATGAGTCAGGGGTCACCTCACCAGGTAGACTGGCCTCCCTGTTCCTGTGACCTCACACATCCTTGAAAGGGCAGCCAAGGCCAGCTGACAGGGCAGGGAATGGTGAGGAGCAGCCTGGAGGGGCTGGCGCCATTCTGACACTCTGCAGAGCAGACTCAGCAGCGACTTCTCCAGCAGGGCTGTGTCTCTCCTGCCATCTTGTTCAGAACAATGAGGCGTATCCAGACTGGACACGTTGCCTGCTGCTCACTGCCCACCCGCTGGCTGTTCCTCAGGGGTCAACCACTCGACCTGCCTCAGGTGGACCCCAGGGCTTCCCGACAGGCCCTCAGCTGGCTCTGTTTCCAGGCGGCACGACTTCACTATGGGCCCTGCAGGCACTCTCGGATCTATGCTGGAGACTCGGAAGTGATCCCAGCTTCCTCCCTGGCTCTCCTCAGCTCCCTTCCTTCACATGCCCATGTAGCTGGACCTTCAGCTTCTCTAGTCTGAGCCACCTGAAGGGTTTTCAGGTAAGGTTCCCTGCCCCTGCCCGGCCCCTCCCATCCGTCCCCACCGCCACCTGGGTGATTCCTCTAAAGCATCACCCAACTCTGCCATTCCCCACTCCTCCTCCCTTTAGTGGCCACCAAGTACATGAGAAATCAGGCCAGGTCACTTGACTGGCACACGCATGATGTGGCCCTACCTGCCCTGCACAGCGTCACTACTGCCCTTCAGAGTCAGTCCTCCAGGTGCACTGCTGCTCCTCCATTGCCCCGTTCTCCCTGCTCCCTGCATGGAAACATCTGGGCTGCATTTGAGACTTTGAGGAAAGAGCAAGAGACAAATCATGACCAAAGTCCTCCCTGACTGCTGGGCCAAGTAAGATGGAGACTAAACTGCTCGGCTCTGTCACTTGGAGTTCACTGAAGATGGTGAGTGGGTACATTGGAGTGGGGGGCAAAGGTCGACTTGGAGTGGGTGCAAGAGAGAAGGAAAAGGAGGAAGGGGAAAAAGCAAGGACAGCTTCTGGTGTCCTTGGGGGATTGGTTTCGGGACCCCTGTGGATCTCAAAATTCGTGGATGACACGCCCCTGATATAAAATGATGTAGTGTTTTTATGCAACCTATACACATCTTCTGTGTACTTTAAATAATCTCTAGATTGCTTATAATGCCTAATAGAATGTCAATGCCACATTAATAGTTGCTATACTATATGGATTAGGAAATAATAGTAAACAGCTGCATGTCTTCCATACAGACACAGTTTTTTTCCCAAATATTTTTGACCCATGCTTCATTGAATCCACAGATATGAAACCCATGGATTGGAAGGACAGACTATATAGTCATCTCTTCCAAGGATTTGGCCATAAAGGGAAGTGGAGAGAAATGGGTGGTCATGGAGAGGAATATGGGCTGAGGCTGGTTTTATGCTGATGGGACACATCACAGCAGATTTGTATGATGATGGGAATGATTCTGTAGAGAGTGGGAAACTGAGATATGGCTAATGCCATGGTGACACTGGAGTGGCTAATGGCAGGTGCATTGTCCTGGAGTTGGGGAGAAGATGCAGGGTGAGGTGTTAGACTGAAACTAGGCATTTGAGGCACTTACACAGCGAGCGGTGGGGCTCCTCGGCTGCTTCCTTGGTCCAACTATGGCATGTGGCAGGCAGTTCACCACAAGCTCCACCTCCCACCATGAGGCCAGGCAGCCTCTCTGCAGAGACCAGACCATCCAGTGAGGAGAGCTGAAGGTGCTGATGTTGGGGGAACATGCAGATTACTGGCAGCAAAGCCCATGGCTGACAAGACCTGCACATCCCTCAAAGACATACCCACATACCCCCCCATGTACACAGAAAAGACACCCCCACATACACACCCCATAGACACAGACCCACACTCATATACCCACACCAGTCCACAGATAGACATAGATACCTGCTACCCTGCACAGCCACCTCCCCACCCCACAACTTTTTAGGGCACCTCTCTTACACATAAACAGATATCAAGTATTACCAGTTGAGGGAAGTCGCCAATAGAAACCAAAGCAAACAAGCAAAATTTGGGGAGTCACTATTATTATTGAGATAATTCAGGAAACAGAAGAAAATTTCACAGACACTATAACTAATGTCTTCAGCAGGGTAGACTGTTGCACTCATAAAATGAGAGATGGATACCACAAAAAAAAAGGATTAAGAACAATCCATCTGGCATCTGGGAGACGGCCTCCAAATAAGGAGAAAGGCAGAGAAGACTCCAGAATGACAGCCTGTCGGGGGCCAGAGCAGCCCCATTAGACCGGAACGTTCTAGGAGAGAGCACTTCAGTGGGAGGAGTTCCAAGAGGAAAAAAGGAGAAATATATTTAACAGTGTGGAAAATATTACAGAGATTCTTTTCCCATAACATTTTTGGGGGAGGGGCAGTAGTAATAATTTGAAAAAAATAATAAGCCACTAAAAATGGAGCATTTTAACTCCAGGAAAAGCCAAAAGTTACAGAAATAAAAAACATGGTATTTTTATACTACAAGGCTTGGGGATGGTAAAAAGTGTATATGAAAAACAAAAACTTCATCTGGCATCATAAGTCAATAAGGAATGCCTGATTTCATTAATCGAAATATTGTAGTATGTTCATTTTACTTAGAAATATAAAAGTAAATTCCAGAATAAGCAGGGAAAGGGTTGAAAATGAGAATCAGGAGGGGCATGTCACTGCAGTAGAGGGGTGGACACCTGGCTTCGTTCTCTGGAAAATGGTGCCTTTCCATCACTCCACTTTCCTCTCCCCCCTGCTCCTTTTTTATTTGCAGACCTTATTAATACTTGACATGTTATTGGTTTCTATGTCCCTCATGTAGAATACAAGCACCTTGAGGACAGGGATTTCATTTGTTTCGTTCACTGCTTTAGTCACTAATCTTAAGTCCCCAAACTGTCTTAGCATGCAAAAAGTATCTGAGAAGCTGACATTCCGGAGTTTTCTCTACCTTTCTCTTTAATTGGAGGCCCTGTCTCCCAGACCCCAAACGGATCATTCTTGTTGTTTTTTTGTGTGTGTGTGATATCCATTTCTCATTTTTTGAGTGCAATAGTCTACCCTTCTGAAGACATTATAGTGTCTGAAATTTTCTTTCATTTCCTGAATTATCCCACTTGAATACATGAAAAAAAAAAAGTTACATAATAGGTTTGTTGGACCCATGGCTTTTTACATCTAAAATTAGACTTGCTGAGTAAAATGTAAGGGTCTTGATGACAGGAATCATGTCCCATGCTTTTTTATACCCTCAGGTCCTAGCACCCATACATGCTCATGCACATGTATGCACAGCCAGCTAGTCAGTGTCTGTCCATGGCAGAGGGAAGAGTGATTTCAGATGATTAAGGACATTCACAGGGAAGATGTAAGTCCCCATCTCCAGTAGCTCATGGCTGTGTCTCTCTTAAGGCACCTACATCTGTGCACCTCAGATTACAGTTGCGCTTGCCTGGCCTCATCCTAGCACGGAGCTGTGAGCTCCCAGGGAACAGAGGCACTCTGATGTCTTCTGTTGCCTCAACAGTGCTTTGCCTCAAGCTACTGAGGACAAGTATTGTCAGATGAAAACCTACCCATCCAAATAGCCGAGAAACACAGACTTGTCCTGAATGCCATGACGAGACAGGTGTCTCAGACTGAAAACAAAGCTTTTGGCTTAAGAGTGAAAGAATGAGGGGGTGGGAGAGGAAGAGGCCTGGGACCTGCTTGGCTCCCTGTTTACACCATGTGTCAGTCAGTCTCTCCCCAGGGCACCTGGAAATGGCAGATTTGAGGTAAGCAATCTAAAAATTATTGAGAACCCAAACAATTAACAAACCCAATTAAGCAATGATTTCTAAAGCCCCATCGAGTAAGTCAAAAATATGTATGATTGCACCAAAGGAAATGTAAACTCTAATTTAGTGTACTTTTGTAGATGTCCCAACCGCGTGAAAGTAGCAATCCATGCATCCTCGGAGTTTCGCCATGTCTCTAGCCTGCTGAGAACGCCCTTCTCTTGAATCCAAAACACCAGTATGTAAACCACCCTCACATGATGTCAGGAATTTCCATTTCTTCTCTGTTTTTCATAGTGTTCTCAGATGGTGGTGGCATGTCCCAGCGAATGTGTGCCCTCTGGATCTGACCTGCTGTACCTGGATTAATTCTGATGGCCACCTCTGGCCACCAGGAGGCCAAATGAGGCACTGCACCTACCTCACTAAAGGTGTGAAGACAGCCAGGTCATGCTCAGCTGGGCATGGGAAGGGGAAAGATCAGAAGCCTGATGGGCACACACGAGCATTTACTGCTGTGCTGTGGGGGACCCCAGAGAGGCCAAAGCTTCAAGCCTCCCAGCACACAGGAGGCCAGAAGATTGCAGTCTTCTGGAGCAGCCACATCTCTGTGCCAGAAGACTGCAATCTCTTTTCTTTCTTTTCTTTTCTTTTCTTTCTTTTCTTTTCTTTTTTTGAGACAGAGTTTTGCTCTTGTTACCCAGCCTGGAGTGCAATGCTGTGATCTCAGCTCACTGCAACCTCCATTGCCTGGGTTCAGGCAATTCTCCCACCTCAGCCTCCTGAGTAGCTGGGATTACAGGCACGCGCCACCATGCCCAGCTAATTTTTTGTATTTTTAGTAGAGACGGGGTTTCACCATGTTGACCAGGATGGTCTCGATCTCTTGACCTTGTGATCCACCAGCCTCGGCCTCCCAAAGTGCTGGGATTACAGGCGTGAGCCACTGTGCCCAGCCTGCAATCCTCTTTTCACATAGCCATACTCCTTCGCCCCAGCCACGGGCACACCTTCTCCTTTTGTGCCCACAAAACTCTAACACAGACTGAATGTAGGATGAGGTTGTCAACACATTTTACTTAAGATTTGAGCGTATGATAAAGAAACCACAAATAGAAAAAGAAAACATAAAACTCATAATGAAACGCAACCTCTTCTAAAGCTCATTGGCTGCAGCCATCACTGAAGGCCTGGGTGGCCGCCTCTCTCCTCTCTGATCCAAATCTCTTCCCTCACCTGTCTTCTCACTCCCTGTATCAGTTAGGTAACGCTAGCTGCTGTCACAAATCTCGGATTCACCATGCTGGAAGTTTACTTTTCACTCACACGAAGTACATTTTAGTACTTGGCAGGCTGCCTTCCACAGAGTGACTCAGGGACCCAGGTTCTTAGAGACCGTTGCTTCCAGTTGATGGACAGAGCAGAGAATATGACAAAGCTACACCTGCTTTTTAACTACTTTGGCCCAGAAGTAATTAAGGTCACTACTGCTCATGTTCCCATTGCCAAGACAGGATGACATGGCCCTACCTAATAAGGGGGTGGGGGCTGGAAACTATAACCCCTGCTAGGCAGCTGCTTTTCAGCCACTACTCTACCATATGGAAGGAAAGCAGAACTCTTCAGAGGACAAGCAGCCATCTCTGCCAGATCTCCTGGCTCAGAGTCTCCAAACTCCCTGTCCCTGCCCCCAACATACACAGGGAGCCCCACCCCAGTAAACATTTCCACCAGGATATAATATATCAGGAATTTGGCAACTGAACATGTCACTCCTTTGTATATTTACACTAGTGACAAAGAACAGAAGGCAGAAGAGAAACATAATTTACTTAGTCCTGTCCTAAACACTGTCTCAGCAGCTCACACTCTCATGTGTCCAATCAGGCTCAGTTTCCTGGTGTCCTGGCCGATCTTGCCACTCAGCCAGGAAACGGTGCCTTTCACAGGAACCTCAGTTACATATATGCGCCATTCCACACCACTGCATAATTGGGTCTTTGCGGATATCTCTGAATTGAAAGAGCAAGCTCTGCCTGGTCAGAAGAGCAGGGTCTGGTTTGCATTTGTTCCTGGTCAAAACAGGAAGCACCTACCCCATTTTTCACAATGTTAGCTTTTTTACAAAGCAAATGCTCTGTGGTGCACACAATAATGATTCAACCCTGAGGAATATGTGGAGACTGCTCCAAGTCATTTTCACAGCTTTGTAACCTCTTACCGTCATCAGCTCAGCCAGGATGGATGTTGGTGCTTCTCTTTGAGTACTGTCCTGCGGTCTGGCTCGTGCAGCTGGCACACAATGTGGCTGTCACTCTGATGCCTCCCCACTTCACCTCCATTGTCCAGTGACTGCCCATAGGACCGTCACTCTTGGTGGGTGCAGGGCTCAACTGCTGGAAACAGTGGGACAGAGCCTGATGACCCTCCAATCATTCCGGATTTGGAGATCTGAATCCTAGCTCTGCCTTGTACTAGTTGGAGGACCTTAGACAAAAGTCTCTGAATTTCAGTTTTTCCCTCAATAAAATGAAGTTACTGATTGTAAACAGTAATATGGAAATAGCAATGATAATAAAACTAACCAGTTGTGTCTTACCTGGCAGTTTCCAAAGCACAGAGTTTTGTGTGGGTCTGCTCGAAAGAGACCACAGGGAAGGTGAGGCTGAAGCTGGGCCTTGAGAAGTACCCGTGGCTTGCATTGGGGAGAGGAGAGTGACCAACGAGCTAAAGAATGTCCAAGCTGGGCTGGGCAAGGTGCTTCACACCTATAATCCCAGCACTTTGGGAGAACGAGACGGGTGGATCACGAGGTCAAGAGTTCGACACCAGCCTGGCCAATATGGTGAAACCCCATCTTTACTAAAAATACAAAAATTAGCTGGGCACAGTGGCCTGCACCTGAAGTCCCAACTACTCCAGAGGCCAAGACGGGAGAATTGCTTGAACCTGGGAGGCAGAGGTTGCACTGAGTCAAGATCGCACCACTGCACTCCAGCCTAGGTGACAGAGGGAGACTCCATCTCCAAAAAAAAGAGAATGTGCAAGCTGTCAGCCAGATAAGATGTTTGAAGGTGCATTACTATAAAGGCCATCTACTGGCGTGCCAGTTAAGAGAAGTGCCTAGAGGACTTGTTTTAATGAACATAAGAACAAGCACATCAACCAGCTATGAGTGCTCCACAAACACAGTGAGATACTACCAGGCACACACAGGACTTCCTCAGTTTGATGTTTGCCCTTTTTAGAGCTCACATTTTCATGCACTGTGCATGGACACCCTAGACTACCCCCTGGGTCTAAAATTCACCTTTATACGTCACCCGATGGTTTCACACTGTGGTGAAATGATGCTGGTCGCCAGGTACTGCTGCTGCTGCTGCTGTGGGAAAAATAAGCCATACCTCCTCTGAACCAAAGTCAAGGCAAGGTCAAAGTCTTCCTCCTCCCGTGGATGTCAAGGGCATCTCCAGAATCCTCTGGGGGTGGTGCTTTCTGATCAGCCTGGCGTCTCAGGGTAGAGAGGTGGATACATAAGGTGAGTGGATGTGTGCATAAGGCCACCCCCCACCATCCCACTCAACTGGAGGTGTCATGCTAAGATCCTTCCCCCATCTTTTCTCCGGGCACTCCATGAATCAGGTCAGACCTTAGGCTTTTGAGACTGCTTAGCTGCCTCACACTCTGATCCCTTTCCTGCAACTGAAGGTGCCTGTGGGAAATGAGAGGTACCCAGACCAGTGTCCCTGATCCCCAAAGAAAGCTGCCTCCCATCCCAAGGCCCCCCCAAATGCATGCAAAAGTTATCACCTGCCCATCTACCAGCTTGCTCCCAAAGCAAGCAAAACCATTATTAGAAGTTATAAAATTGCTTTGAATCTCTAAAAGCAGGATTCCCCACCCATTCCTTGAGACATCAGCCCCTCCATGTGATATTAGAGGGCGGCAGAGCATGTGCAGGTCTAGAAGTGGCTTCCTGCTGGTCTCCTCAGCCGCTTTTCTCTCCTCCCCATGGAAGAAGCAGCTCTCTACCCCATGAGACCACTGAGCCTTTGCCTAAGGATGGATCGGAGAGCAGGACCACTCCATGTACATCCCTCAGTGTGCTGAGGATTTGAGTAAGCGAAATGATTGTGTAACCTCCAAACCAAGGCTTCATGGCACTTCAAAAAGAGAAAATCAGGACAATGAAGTCTGGGTGGTGTAGTCCCTGGCCGAACTTAAAAGTCCCCAAATCCAAGTCAGTGCCGCATTTGTCCCGTGAGACAATGGATGAAGGAGAGCCCATCTTTGCTGTAAAAATGTGCAACAGTTCATTGGCAGTCAGTGTGGATGACAATATGGAATAAGAACTTTTTCATCACTTCATTTTGTAAAAGTCAGTGTTATGATGATGATTTTAATGGTGGTCCATTATGCTCAAGTCAGAAGCATCAAGTTGACAAATGACAAAAAAACACAGATATATTGATTATAAACCCAAATCCAACATCATTTCACTAGCTTCAGTACCTCAGCACTTTCCACCCATGTCAATTTGAACTCTATCAGTGCTATAGTTTTGTTTTGGTTTTTGTTTTTGAGACGCAGTCTCACTCTGTGGCCCAGGCTGGAGTGCAGTAGAGCAATCTCGGCTCCCTGCAACCTCCGCCTCCTGGGTTTAAGTGATTCTCCTGCCTCAGCCTCCAAAGTAGCTGGGATTACAGGTGCGTGCCACCATGCCCGGCTAATTTTTGTATTTTTGATAGACAGGGTTTCACCATATTGGCCAGGCTTGTCTCAAACTCCTATCTCAAGTGATCCACCCACCTCGGCCTCCCAAAGTGCTGGGATTGCAGGCATGAGTCCCTGCGCCCCACCTATTAGCACTATAGTTTTGTCTGTACTTAAAAGCATTTTGGTTTTATAATGGTACAAGAGTTCCTGTTTAATGTTTGTACATATTTAAATAAAGTTATATAAAAAAATTTAGTTCAACACTAACATTTTAAAGATGCCTGCATTATTAAATTTGAGGGAAAATATGTCTATTTGTCCACTTAACATATATACTGGCTAATCCTAAGAAATTCATCTATTCAGATACCATAAGCGGATTTGTGTGGAAGGTCGGGAGGAAAAACATTTTACTGAACAAGAAATTATCTCTATGGTCATCCTCTGTGTGCTGCATGAAAGCAAAAGCACAGAGTTTTGTCCAGAATGAAGTTTCTTTCAATAAATTAGAGGTTAACCGCCTCACTTATCAACAAGCACTGTTTATTTTTTTTAGGATCTCCCTGAAATATGAATCAAGAAGACAAAGAACAAAAGCAAAACTGGTGGGTGGGGGACAGGGAAATGCCGAGTTCACCGATGAATGTGTTACTTGAAAATATAAACCATTTCTTCCTAGCTTGGCTCTGTCAACCATCTCGGAAAAGGATGTTTTTACAATCAGAGCAGAAATATGACTGGCGGCTCCTACATTTACATTTCTTTGTTGCAAAATGAATGTAACTTGTTCAGATTCCAACAGGGAGAAAGCAGCAGAAGTGGTGGTTACTTTCCAAAGTGAAACGTAAAACCACAATCTCCGGTGCACAAAAGGCAGAATGAGTCACAGGAAGAGGCCACTTGCTTGCAAAACTCATTAAAAGCAATGCAGGGCTGAATGGACTTCCTGCACCAATGAAAAGATCCTGGCATCAGGACAGGCACCTCCAGGCTCCAACGATTTGGGGGAGGAAGGGAGCCATTAGCAATCTGGGCACAGCCCAGGTCTTCTCCTTCACAGGCAGACCCTCTCCAGACCCTACCACCCCCCCACACACACACACACACTCCAAACCCCACCACACACACACACACACACACTCCAAACCCCACCACACACACACACACACTCCAAACCCCACCACACACACACACACACACACACACACTCCAAACCCCACCACACACACACACACACACACACACCCTCCAAACCCCGCACAGACACACACACACACACACCCTCCAAACCCCGCACAGACACACACACCCTCCAAACCCCACCACACACACACACACACACTCCAAACCCCACCACACACACACACACACACACACACTCCAAACCCCACCACACACACACACTCCAAACCCCACCACACACACACACTCCAAACCCCACCACACACACACACACACACTCCAAACCCCACCACACACACACACTCCAAACCCCACTACACACACACACACTCCAAACCCCACTACACACACACACACACACCCTCCAACCCCAACGTGCACACAATCCAAACCCCAACACACCCACACACACACTCCAAACCCCACCCCTCACGCACACACTCCAAACCCCACCACACGCACACACACACTCCAAACTCCAACACACACACACACACACACACACACACATTCTTCCCCTCCAAACCCCATCCCCCCATTCCCCCCATCCCCCCCATCCCGCCACACACTCACTCCAGGCTGCAAGGCCTGGAATCCCCTCCTAGTCTGGGCCGCTCACATCTGAGATCCCTGGGAAGCTGTCTCAGGCTGGAAGCTGCATATCAGAGGATCACAACGACACCTTGTGACTCAAGCGGGCATCTATACGGGGTTTCCAAGCTTTTTTTCAGGAGTGGCTGTGGGGAAGACAGTCTTTCCAGGCCCTTCCTTCCCTCGGCAGCTCTGTGTGAGCCCTGGGCAGTGAGCGATGCTCTGGCCAGGCCGAATTAACATCAGAAGCCAGCTGAGCAATACAGGAGAGCCTACCTGGGAGCAGGAGGCAGGGCCTCTGCTGTACCGTCTACACCCTGCGTCTCCAACTTGTAAGAGAAGCAGAATCCCCTGAAGGACCTCTTAAAACAGATAACCCGGTCCCTCGTCCACGGTTAGATTCAGCAGGTCTAGGGTAAGGACCCCAAGCATTTGTATTTCTAACAAGTCCCCTAGTGCTGGACTGCAGACTGCACTGTGAGAGACACAAATGTAAATGGTTTTTAGACCTGAACAAACACAGCCACAGACAGCTCCCTTTCCAGCCAGTTATTGTTGGCCTTGGGCTGTGCCAACTGCAGCCACGTTGGTACCAAAACAGTCGCCTTAAGGAATTCCCCCCTCCTCACAAGTCGGATCCACAGCCTGGCTGGTCTCCAAGGCCAGCACCACCCGGGAAGAGGCCTTTGTCAAAGCGGAGACTTTTTTTTTTAAAAGGCTGTGCTGCCAAACCAAAAGCGATTGTGCCCCCAGGTGGCCACTTGGGCCCACTGACTTCCGGGGTCAGCTTCTGTCTGCTCAGGTTCTGGTTTCCTTCAGGTACCAAGCCCCCCAGGCCTGGCTTACAACAGAAGTGATACTGACCACCACCTTCTATGCAGCAGGAGTTGAAAAAGGTGTTGGAAGCAGAAAGGCAGAAAACCCACTGGCATTTTCACCACCTTCTCTTAGTTTAAGGCAGAGATGGGGCACAGTGCTGCTCCCAACTAGATCTGAAGATAAAATATAAAATACAAAATGTAGTGGTCAAAAATTAGCCAGGTGTGGTAGCATGTGCCTGTGGTCCTAGCTAGTTGGAGGCTGAGGCAGGAGGATCACCTGAGCCCAGAGTTCAAGGTTACAGTGCGCTGTGATCGCATCACTGCACTCTAGCCTAAGTGACAGAGCAAGACCCTGTCTCCCAAAAAAATAAAAATACGAAAACAGTCTTTAAATAATGAAAGAGCAGAGGCAGATGAATGTGAGTGGAGATGGGACAAGTTTCTCCTGGAGCAGCAGATGAGGCCACACCAAGTTTCTATTCTAGCAGCCAGTTTTTTAATGTTTTAAGATGCGGCCGACTCAGCTTTCCTCCAGGGATGTAGTAGGGCCATGTGCATTCCCTTTTCCTGGAAAGGGCACTTTGGGCTCCGATGCTGATGGCCAGTGGCCCCATCGTCAACATTCCTCAGCCTCCAAATGCAAGAGTGCTGATGTGTCAGTGTTTGAGAACCAGGCTGTAAAGCATTTTAGACATTCAGGCGATCACAGCGGAGACACTGCAGAAATCCAAGCTCCCAAGCTTGTTTCCCCTGCACACATGAGAGCTGCCCGCAGAGCTCCACCAGCACGTGGGAATCGACAGACCCAAGACAACAGTCTAGGCAAATCTTTATTTTATAGATAAAAGAGCCCACACATTGAAGTCAGAGTTGGAACAAATCCGTGATGGTGCTGAACAAAATGAGGTTTTGTTTTTTAAGATGCAAAAGCATTAATTCTACAGGCACCTAGAGATGAACTGTTTGGATTTAGGTTTCGTTAGGAATTCCGCCTAGGATCTTGGCCAGCTATGTTGCCTTTAGGGGCCAATACTTTTTCATTTATTCCAGAAATGCTTAGGCTGACACAGGTAAATCAATAGGAAATCTCCTGCCAGGTCGACATGTAAAATCGATAGGAATTATGACAGTTTTCAGCTTATATGATTGGACTAGTCAAGGATTTTGATTCATTCAAAATAAAGAACGAATCTGGGGTACACCACCGAGAAGAGTCCAAAAAATGAGGACAGCAGATATGAGGTTGGGGAACACTGATTCTGGGCCAGGCCCTGGGAGGCACTTCACGAAATTCACTTGACTGAAACCTCCCTGCTCCCGAATCATCCCACCAGGGCAGAGAGGGCCCCGGGTACAGCCTGCTCCTCTCCTCCTTCATCCCTCTGTTCCCTCCCAAGTTCATAGAGAAGGTTGGTGTTCTACCCATTTAAATCTAAAGCATCAGGAAAAAACATCCATTCCAAATCGTGAACAATTCATAGCCTAAAGATATATTTTTAGAATATGCTTGATGACACCCCCAGAAAATCAACAACTTAACAACTTACCAAAAACTATGTAAAATTCACATGCCTCATTTTCAGAGAAGTCTTTCATCAGTCTCATTTATTACAATATTTTCTAACTTTGCATCCAGTGCAACACAATGAAGTGTGATAGTGATTTTCATCATTGTACCAGCATATACAAATACAGATCAAATGTAAATCAAGTGTGCTTGCCGCGGTGATCCAAACCTAAAATTGCCAAGGGAAGTCTCTTTGAAAGTATAATTATTTTTCTCCAATGTACCAGGTATATGTTTTTTTCTATGCCAGGTATACGTACTTTTCTTCATCACAGGTGACAAACATTGGAAGACTTGTCACTGGGTGTGACTCATTTCCATAGGGCAACTTTGAAATGTGTGGTCCAAATACGGCATTCCAGCACATGACCCCAGTGTCACTGGGTTATAGTCATGTACACAGAGATAAATCAACTTGCATATGCATGAGTGCAACCCATTGACCATCTCATTTTTAGAAACTGGCCTCGCTAGGGCTCACACTGAACTTGACACAGATCTGAGTGTGACTTTCTGGAAGACACGCTTTGTTTCAGGGTGCAGAGATGTGGAAGTTTAAGGTACCTCAAAATTCAGAGTCCAAAACTGCACGCTCTGAAACTCCACCTGGAGAGTGCACTGCTGCAGAGGATCGCTCAGAGGTGAACGGAATTGAGGGATATGTCACCCCATTCTCACAGCCAAAGTTCCTCCCGGGCGCAAAGGAGAAACCGTGTGAACCTTTGCAAGCCAACATGAGCTTATGCTGAGTTCACAGCAGTTAAAATTCACTCAAAAATACCCTCATTGCATAAAGAATGAATATACCCTCCTTAGGTTACTAGTGAACAAGCAGAGGAGTTAGTTAAGGCAGGACTACTTTTTCCTTTTGAGAAGGAGTCTGTTGCCCAGGCTGGAGTGCAGTGGTGTGATCTTGGCTCCCTGCAACCTCAGGCAGGACTATTTTAAATTATTTTTAATATCTCCAAAAGGGAATCTGCGCATGCACATCCGTTTCTACAGAAATCTGCAATCCATGGCAGATCCAGGTCTGCCTTTGTGTGTCCACATGAACCATTCAGCAAAGGCAGCCGATGCTAACAGCCCACCACTATAACGGAGGCACCAACTCTGTGGATTTTCTTTCACAGAAAGAGTAAAATTGCATTCAAACGTTCCATTTTTTGCCTCCTGTGACTCTAACAATGAAATTTAAATAGGAAAATGCTTCAATCGTTAGAGTAAAACACTCTTTAAAAAAATAATGCTTCAAAAAGTAAAGCAAAATCTTTTACCAAAATAATTCATACACTTTTTAAATGGCTCTCTCCATAAGCCGGTGTAATGAACAGGTAAAAGAATCACATTCTGTCGGCTTAAAGAATGCCACTCAAATTACTACTTTTTCACTTGCCCTTAATTTGAGTGGAAAAAGCTAAGGAAAAGAAATGACTCAGAAATTCCCAAAGAAGGTCAGTCTATGAGAGAGAGAGAATAAGGCCCTTTGAATAGTCTAACACAGATTATCTTTTCAATATATCCGTGACAGTGGGATAGAAAGAATATGACTAAAATGCCTGTCACAGTAACCTAAGCAGAGTAAAACAATAAATAATATCTACAAAGAATATATTTTAACTTCTTGAAACTATTTTCTTAAAACCAACCAGTTTCTCTGGCGAGCTCCCAATAGGAGTTGGTATCGTTCACATTTGGCGTTACGTGCACTGAAGTCCGTCTTCAGCACCACCTTGCTGGATGAAAGGAAGCCGGCAGTATGGAACTCACTCAAAATACCACCTTAGTAATACTATCGTTTTCATCCAAGGTGTTACAAAGTTGCCAAGAGCTAGACAAAGCGCATTCTAAATAAAATGTCTGCCATACACATGTTAAGGCATAAATATTCCGGCCTTGAGCCACAAAAAATAATGGGGGGAGATATGCCAATTAAATAGGCTATCATTAACCAATGGAATTAAAGAAAAACTTATCACCTAAACATGAGAGTCAGCAAATACTGCAAGGGGCTCATCCACAAGGCCAGATCTGAGGCCAGGCCGGGATCCGGTGATGCCTCGATTCCCATCGGAGACTCAGATCCCGGTCACGTGAGCCTTCCCTTCCCTTCCCCGCTGTGTTCAGAAGGTGGCGGCACTAACATCACTATAACGGAAATGTGCCCCCTACTTTGCCAATAACCGTGCACATCTGGTGTTCCTCGACTGACCCTGTCCTAGGCAGGGACGGCCCTCAGACAGCCACCTTCTTCCTCGGTTTCACCGGCCCAAGCTGCACATAAACCAACGGCTACTTGCTGGGGCAGGCCGGAAAGCGGGTAACCGGCATTCAGCCACAACTGAGGAATGCTTTTCACGGTACAAATGCACCCAGTTCCTCGCCTAGAAAGTACTCCCTTCCTATCTTGCTTAGAAACATCCCCCCTGGGGTGGGGCAGGGGAGAAATGCTTCTCAACTCTCTCTGCTGTCAGGCAAATGGCAATGCGTCAAGCTCCCAGCTGGACGCATCTGGGGAGAACTATCTTTTAATGGGTGACCACCAGGCTCTGCGCTTGCTGGCAAGAGGCTGCTTGGGACATTTTACGAGGAGGCAGAATGAATGTCCTGGTTTTCAAAAGGTGGCAGTGGCTCTCTCCAAAAGGTGAAGTTACTGAAGGTATCCGAGCAGGGAAAGTCTGAAGAATGGCTTCTTTTCAGCAATGGGAAAACGTGGTCAACCACTTCACAGAGCCTGACGTACCTGGAAGGAAAGGGACATCATCACTGCCACTGAGCGACACCAGCTACGCACCCAGGGCTGCACGCGGAAGTCAAGAGAGAGCTACAACCCCAGGGAATGGACCACATACTGATTCACATGACCGAAGTCATTCTAGAATAATTTGTTATTGATGAATCGGAAACGAGAAACAAAATGAAGGGTATGCAAAGGAGGTGTCAGAGGAGGCTCTGGGGAAGAGGCGGGTAGGACCTGACTTCACTTGAAGGACAGATAAAGGGGAGACAGCCAAGGAAAAGAGGGCAGGAGGACGTCAGCATGACCAAGGGACAGCGCCTGCTGCAGGGGTCACATTAGGGACATCAGGGGAAGAATCACAGACAAGGCACACCTTTGGAGCACCAGACAGAGATTGCTTCATTGCATAGTGAAAAGGAGCTGGGTCTGGGGTTAAGGAGACTGACTTGACCTTCAGCTCTGCCATTTACTAGCTGCGTGATCTTGGGCAAATGGTGTAACCTCTCTAAGCCAATTTCCTCCACTATAAAGGGAGGAAAATAAAAACTATGCCACAGTTTTGAGGATAATTAAATAAAATAACATTGAAACATTAAAATAATGTATACTGGGTGCTCAAATGTATCTGAACAACGAATTATCAACATGTCTTAGGGAAAAAAGCCCTAATTGGCATGACGGTCAAGAGACCTGGGCTCTCCCGCTGGCTGTAACCCTGGACAAATGTCTTGCCCTCTCGGAGCCCTTCATCCTTATAGTGTGTGGAGCTGAATTACAGCAAGGTTTCCCAGTGCTCCCTACAATGTTCTCTTGCTCTCTTTTCTTTGCATGCCCAAAAAGCTGTTGCGTATTAGTTTCTGTGGCTCGTACTATGAAAAGAAAGTTGCTATGTCGCATATGCACGTTCAGACCTACCCAGGCACCTCCAAACTGAGATTCTGACACACCCAGCCCTCTGCCAGCCATCCCCAGATTCCCCCTTGACAGTCCTTGATCCCTGTCTAGTTCCAAATTGCTAAGAACCTAAGGAACTTTCAAAATCCAAATCTCAGGAGTCCGCATGCTCTGTATAAAGTAATGTATTAAACAGGCTGAGTGTGCGCATTGAACAAAGGACCTCCGAACGACGTATGAGAGACTGTGTGCTTGCACAAAATGGGAAAATGGTGTCTCCTAATACAAAACCAAGAGTTATGTCTTTCCTGGGGATTCAAACAGACAGATTTTTAAAATACCACCCAGTTTTAAGGCTTATTTGTCTGAGGTTTGTGGCTGTGGCAGGAGGGCCCCTTCCCGCACTCTTGAGGCTGCAGTGGGCACTGGAACCAAACCTACTCTCACACGCTCTGAGCGCCAGGCTGAGTTCCATCTGCACACCCTCCCAAGACCAACCTCCATGTGCGGGACTCCTCAGGAGCAGGCAGAGCTCATGCATAGACACTCACAGATGCAAGGGAGAAAGAACTGAGCTGCTCCCCTGTCTGGCCCCATCCATCTGAAGACATTTCAGATGAGTGTCCCAGTTTTGAAGGGCAAGCACCTACTTGGCTCGGAAACAGCTATTCCAAGTTCAGTCCCAGAGAAATGTGTGCTTCCTTGGGGAGGAAAGTTACTCTCTGGCAGGAACAACCCCACCACCAGTCCAGGTGTAAAATGACAGAAAGTCTGCAGAGCCCCACCCTAGGCCAAGCCATGGGCCAGGTGTGCATTTTAACCCTAGGGCTTCAGTGAATGCAATGACCTCAGAGATCACCTAGCCAAACCCTCTCCAATGCTGGAGTCCCTCTTTCCCTGCACCTCATGGCAAGACCTGCCACTTTCCCATTCCTGGACAGTATCTCAACAGTTGAAAGTTACTTTTGATCCTGATGTGGTTTGGCTGTGTCCCCACCCACATCTCATCTTGAATTCCCATGTGTTACCTCCAGTGGGAGGTAACGGAATCATGGGGGCATCTTTCCCATGCTGTTCTCATGATAGTAAATCAGTCACATGAGATCTGATGGTCTTATAAGGGGGAGTTTCCCTGCACGAGCTCTCTTTCTGCCTGCTGCCATCCATGTAAGATGTGACTTCTTTCTCCTTGCCTTCCACCATGATCTTGAGGCCTCACCCCTTTTTTTTTTAAGACTGAGTCTCACTCTGTCACCTGGGCTGGGGTGCAGTGATGTGATCTTGACTCACTGCCATCTCCACCTCCAGGTTCAAGTGATTCTCCTGCCTCAGCCTCCAGAGTAGCTGGGATTACAAGTGCATGCCGCCATGGCCAGCTAATTTTTGTATTTTTAGTAGAGATGGGGTTTTACCATGTTGGTCAGGCTGGTCTCAAACTCCTGACCTCAGGTAATCTGCCCACCTCAGCCTCCCAAAGTGCTGGGATTACAGGTGTGAGCCACCACACCTAGCCTAAATCTTTTTTCCTGTATAAATTACCCAGCCTTGGGCCCATGTCTTTATTAGCAGCATGAAAACAGACTAACACAGATCCTAAACAGAAACCTACTAGGTCCTCTCCAGTCTGGGGAATGAGGGAGGACTGGGAATGAGACATTGTCACAGTCGGCCACTTAGAACAACAGACGGGGCAGAAACCACAAGGAAGGGTTAAGAAAGGAATCCAGCTCTGCTGTTTTTCGTCCAATCAGGAAGCAGCCTGACACTGACTCACCACCTGCACGAGGGAACGGGGCCTTGGCTCCATCCTCCCCTCTCTCTGCATATATCTTGAGGACTGCTTGGATAATGGCATGGTTGTAGGGTTAGAGGTGCCCCTGGTGGGGCACCAGGACTCCTGTTAGCCTGGAACTGCCTACTGACACTCAATTAGAATCTAACTGGTGTAAGGACCATCTTGAAAGTAAAAATCTGCCCTAGAAAGAACTTAGCTCTTGGCCGGGCACTGTGCCTCACGCTTGTAATCCTAGCACTTTGGGAAGCCGAGGTGGGTGGATCACCTGAGGTCAGGAGTTCAAGATCAGCCTGGCCATCATGGTGAAACCCCATCTTTAAAAAAAAACAAACAAACAACAAAAAAAAAAAAACAGAGAGAGAATTTAGCTCTCTATCTGTCTAAAACCACAGGAGCTACACAGAGGAAACCAATCCACAGGAATCTCCTAGAACCAAACTCCCCCTCTAACTCCTCCAGATAAAGAGGACCCCATCAGGTTCTCTGGGGTCACTAAGGCCCGAGGCTCTTTTCCAGGTCTCCACAGAGCAGACCAGAAGAGGTGAAGTCTCTGAAATGGACAAGGCAGAAAGACACATGTCTGCCTGGGCTGATGTCACCCAGTGGGCCAACCTCCCAACAATGTGGAATGAGGAAGTGCTCTCCATTCTAAGAAGTCAGGAACCCAAGGGGAACAGCATAAAATCAAGAGTGATTCTAAGCCAGGTATGGTGGCTAATGCCTGTAATCCCAGTACTTTGGGAGGCCAAGCCAGGCAGATCACCTGAGGTGAAGGGTTCAAGACCAGCCTGACAAACATGGAGAAACCCCATCTCTACCAAAATACAAAATTAGTCAGGCGAAGTGGCACATGCCTGTAATCCAAGCTACTGGGGAGGCTGAGGCAGGAGAATCACTTTAACCCAGGAAGCAGAAGTTGTGGTGAGTCAAGATCATGCCATTATTGCACTCCAGCCTGGACAACAAGGGCAAAACTCCATATCAAAAAAAAAAAAAGGAGTGATTCTAAGCACACAAGGATGCCTCATTAGAAAAAGTAATCCCATTTAGTCCACCAACTCAGGAAAAGTGGACTTTGACCAAAATATGACGGGAATTCTTAACAATTACACAGCAATGTTTCTGGTAAGAAACATTTGGTATGTGAAGAGATATACAGTTCCTCATCTTTAAATATAGCTTCACATGTTTCAGTTTGGTTACGTTGCTCATTCACATTCTAGGCTTTCAAACCTAACTTGGCAAATCTAAACTACTAGTTTTCAAATTCATTCAATTCCATTCTGTAGCAGAATCTAACCACGAGTTTAAAATTTTAGACCCAGAGGGGATCTGATTTAATTCCAGTTGTCTAAAAATTACGTTCTGGACAAAATACAAGGAGTTGAAATATAAGAATTAGACATTAACATATAGGCAGCAAAGGAGATAAGGTACACTGCAGAGCATGAAGTGCCATGTTAAAACAGTGGAACCGACAGCATGATCACATAAAGCATGTACAACACTCACGATGAGATGTTGGTCTTCGCATGCTCCTGTACCAGCTCTCCCTTAGGGTTGACGGTAAATATTCTATTCAAAGACACTCCTACTTGCTTGTATGAATACACATCCTATATTTAGTAAAGGTGATTTAAAGTGTTCATTAGAAAAAAAGATTTCATTGTAAAAACAAGTACATGGTATTTCTGATTTGATGACATGGCAAATTTTCATTAACCAGAGCTCTACCTCAAAGTGGTACAGTGAAAAGAATATCCTTTGATGGGAAACTACTCAATTAGATTTGCTCTCTGGGTCTCAATTCTCTCAACTGTTCAAGGACTGAGTTAAAGAAAAGACAACCTAGCCTATCCCCCGCAATTCTAATGTTCCTTCAGGTTATTCTCTGACCCATTTTCCTAATTCATGAAAATCTGTCATAACTTTCAAAAGTAGGACTTTCCCATGGAGCAATCAGTACCCAACTATATTCTCTAGAATACTTAGCTTTCCAGTAAATTTGGGCAATGTATGCAAAACCTCTCATGATATCAGACAATACTAGACTCTTCAAACTTGAGATGCTGAATTTGCCATCATAGTTAAGATTAATTTTGCAGTTCCCTTCTGGTAGAAAGAACCAAATCCGATTAAATGTTCTGGCTTTACGAGTAATTTGGAATTTGGAGTTTTAAGTCCCACATCTCAAGCTTTGACCCACTTGCAAACCTTCAAAGAAGCCTGGAGGCCATAAGATAATTTGTAATCCTCTTGCCTTTAGATGTGGACAAGTGGTTCTTCACCAGGCTGCTGCTTCTAGGATAAGAATCTGACTCTACATACAGTTCTAGGACTCTCAGAGTCCTAGGGGCTCTCAGAGGACAGCAACCAGAAAAGGCAGTCATTTCAAGGGCTCTTCTATACCATATCTACTACTTACAGCTGGGCGGTTTCCAAAAGCAGCATAAAAAGGTTCCGTATTGGGGAAAAACAGGTTTTTGATGTCTGTCAGACACTGGACTTTAAACTTTTCTGGCTTCTTTTCAATCACTTCTCTGTTAAACAAATAAATAATAGATTAACATGAGAGGCCACACTTCCTTTAGCATCAAACTATTTCTTTTAGCTGACAAAGCTGCCACAACACTAGGAAAACTCAAACCCTCAAAAGTTTTATATGTGTCAGGAAGTTAAGACATCCCGGAAAAGCCCGAGATGGAAGGCGAACCCATACCTCCAAGTCTTTCTACAAAGAAAACTCCAAGGATGAACCATTTCAACAAGAAATCTGATCATCCGGGAACAAAGAATGACAGAGCATTAAAAACAAAAAGGAACATCTCCAAATTAGTGTGATGAGGACATAACCTTAAAAACAAAACCTAAAACAGAAAAGTATGAGCAAAGGGTGGACCCATCTCATTTGTGAATATGTGTAAAAATTCTAAAAAATATATATATGCCTAGAGGTGTGTGTGTGTGTGTGTGTGTGTGTGCAAATTATAACAAGGTATAAAAGCTGGGTTTATTCCAGGAATGAAATAGCAATTTAATATTTAAAATTAATGTAACACATTATCAGGTTAAAAGAGAAAACATGATCATCTTAATAGATTCAAAACAGATATCTGATACCAGTTACCTCCCAACATACATACATATATATACATTTTTTTTTTAATTTAAAAGGAGGCATTTGATACAATTTAACATCTAATCCAGATGGAAACTCCAACCAGGAACAGAAGGGAATACTGAAAAAACCTACAGTGAACATCTTATCAACAGTTAAAATCATGGCGGTCCGCATCAGCATGTCAATTCACTGCTGTATGGCCCATCCTATCAGTGCAATAAAGTAAGAAAACTAAATAAAAGTTATATGTATTAGAAAGAATGCAGGGAAAAAACTGTCATCGCAAAAAACAAATATGCACATTAAAAGATGAACCTACACATGAATTACCAGAATTAATAAGACTAGTAAGGTTAACAAGTCAATGTACAAAAAACAATGTACAAAAATTGCATGTTCGTGCATCAGAAACAAGCAGAAAAGGTAATTGTGTAAATGATATTTTAAATCAAATGTCTAGGAATAAACCTAACAGATGTGCCAGATCTTCGTGGCTAAAATTCCTAATATATTTCATGGCTGAAATACATTAGCAAAGACCTAAAGAAATGAAGAAGTTGACAGTACTCTTGAATTGGAAGATCCAGTATAATTTTGAGATATTACTTCTTCCTAAATTGCTCTACAGATTCACTGTGATTTCAATCCAACTCACAACAGGGTTTTGCATGTGTTGATGAAATTTGAGTCTAGAAACTCCGAGGATGAGCAGAAAGCCAGGCCTAGCACTTCCGATGCTGGGAAGGTGAGGAGCCTCTGCAGCCGTGGGAACTGGGACACTATGGCATTGGCCAATCTGTCCAGGCCTTTGCCAATGGAACAAAACGAAGAGCCCCAAAACAGAACCACCCGTTCACAGACACTCACGTTATGACCACAGTAGCACCTCGGAGCAGCAAGGACAGGACAGTCCTTTTAAGAAGTGGTGTTGGGACAAATGAATATCCATATAGGAAAAAGTCAAATAAAATGCACCACAACTTTACTCTAAATGAATCCATGTGAAAGCAGCACCTTCAGATAAAATCCAGGAGGACTGTCTTCATGCCTACAGGTCAGACTTTGTTAATACGCGAAAAGCACACACTGCAGAGGAAACAATACATTCAATGACATAAAACTAAGTTTATTTTCAATAAAGCTGTCAACTGGGAAAAGGCTAAGGAACAAAGGCTAAGTGATCGCCATCCTGGGCTGAGGGCTTGCTTTTGCCAATTGCACGGCACACATAGCCACCACTACACTCCTCTGCTTCATCCTAATTCAGACCTAGCAGTAGAATCAGAACTGCACCCGGTTAAAGAGTTGTGCTAGGGAATGTCATTTGTGTGCCCATCAATAATAGACTGGATAAAGAAAATGTGGCACTTATACACCACAGAATACTACACAGCCATAAAGAAAGAATGAGCTCATGTCCTTTGCAGGGACATGGACGAAGCTGGAAGCCATCATTCTCAGCAAAGTAACACAGAACAGAAAACCAAACCCCGCATGTTCTCGCTCGTAAGTGGGAGCTGAACACTGAGAACACCTGGATGCAGGGAGGGGAACATCACACACTGGGGCCTGTCGGGGAGTGGGGAGCAAGGGGAGGGAGAACATTAGGACAAATACCTAATGCAACTAATGCATGAGGGGCTTCAAACCTGGATGACAGGTTGACAGTTGCAGCAAACCACCATGCACATGTATACCTACGTAACAAACCTGCACGTTCTGCACACGTATCCCGGAACTCAAAAAAAAAAAGGAAGGTCAGTTGTGTTAGGGCAGACCTAGCCAGCAATTCTAGAGAACTCCACAGGAGTGGCTTTGGCTTGATAGCAGCCCTGGGAAGGACCAGGCTGGTGGCAATTTGTCACAGGAGCACTTTGGCCTTCCAAGAGGACATACAAACAATGAGTGTTAGGGCTTTTTAAATAATTCCTCCCAGGGAAAAAGCAATATACCTTGGCCGATGATATTTAACTAAGGAAATGAAAAGGATCACTTTAACTTTATTGTTGGTGTCATGGTGTCAGCCTAATGGTGTCGACTTTTTGCTTAGCCTAGCAAAGCCTTACTACTTAACACAGGCTGATGAATGGCTTGTTGCAAATTGTCAGCATAGCTTCGGGACATAACTGCATTAAAATATCAGGATTTCTATTGAGAGCAATGCTGTTGTGATAACTCTGAGGACTTGAAATACACCAGGTTGTTCCTGACTTTTCTCCCCAAGAACACGCATGTCTCAATCTGAGATCTTTTACTACAGGAGAAAAGCTACTGCTTACATAAAACAACGCTGTGATGCAAAAGGTACCTACAGACCTAAAGGAAAATACACAAGAATCAACGAGGCATTTGGGGCTCATCTAGATTTTTCCATTCTTTGCATGATTAGCAGCAGCAAGCAGTTCATCTGGTCTTCAAATTCAGGTGGAACCACACCAATGACATGCATAAAGACCAAGTCTGTGATACTTATAATCAGCCTTCAGCAGGAACCAATGTCCCATGGTCAACCACAGATTTTGCTTTGCCAGGTGTCTAGTGAATTACGCTGGGCCTCCAACTACAGGGACGCCCAGTGTTTTCCTCCATGGTTTAGCAACCTTGATATGGCCCAGTAGGTGAAGGCAGGAAGGTAATCAGAAATTGGCTAGTGGTCTGTTAGAGGACCCTTAAAATGAACAGTGTTCCCAGAACTCTAAGACAGAAAAACCACAAGTATGATGGGTGTCGAAGGCCAGGTGGACGATGGCAGTTGGTAGACGGGCCAGTTAAGGATCCCTAATGAGATGAGACAGATGCTGACTGTCCAAGGGCCATTAAGATTCATCCAGGCCACTCAAGGAGAGATGGAGCAGGAGAGCAACCGATAAAGAGGGGAACGGCATGTGCAAAGGCTCCAAGCAGAGGCAGTGGTCTGGGGGACACAGACTGAGATGTAGGGACTGGAGAGGAGCCATCAATCGCCAAGCTCCTGAGTCTGGACTTTGGCCTGAGAGTCACGAGTAGCGAACACAGGTGTGGACCTGTGTTTGGAATGATTTTTCTGGTGCCTGCTACGCAGCATGGATACTAGTTGGAGAAGACCAGTGAGGAGGCTCTTCTTACAAAACTCACAGTGAGGAAGAAAGAGGGCTGGAACAGACCCCCATGTGTAGATGTAGGGAGCAGGGCTGGTACCTGTGCAGAGCGGAGAAGAGGCTGCTGGGGCTGAGCAGCAGGGGCCCCTGAGGGAGCACCGTGCCCCTCTCGTTGACCCAGTGTAGGTAGCCCCGCGTCATGTCCGCCATCCCGATGGCACGGGCAGAGCAGTAAAGAAACTTATATCCATTTCTGAAAGACATAAAACATTCACATTTCATGGCATCAGATATGGAACCTTTTGGTATTCACAGATCCTGATCCCTGTTTTGTAAGAATGGCACTGTTTCAAGTTCCCCCACATATAAAAGTCCACATTCTACAAAATCTTGCTCGTGATGGAGAGATAAGCTTAAATACCTTCCACTGTAATTCACTAAGCGCTTTTGCATTCCCCACTTCTTTAATCCTCAGGAGAACATGGCTGGGTGAGTGTTTTCCCTGGGTTTTACTGCTATGGAAACTGAGGTTCAGATGGATGAAACTGGCTCACCTGCCTGCTCTTGAGCCCTTCGAACGCCCCCTGGTCCCAGCTCTTGGCCAGAACCCCTGCGACAGGTCCACAGCCACCTGCCAATTCACACACTTTGCTTCAGCATTTGGTACATTCACCCCTACACACACCACATCAGGTTCCCCCTCTTTCAGGTAATTCACATCAGCACATAAATATTCTGCAATCTCTCATTTCATCCTAAAAACAAACCAAGACAAAACAACCACACACACACACCACGCACGCACGCACGTGCGCCAAAACGTCCTTAGTCTCTCTCTGGCTAAGACCCCATTTCTCTGTTCCCCTTTATAGCAAAGATCTTCCAAAGAGCTGTGTATAGGCACTGAGTCTGTTTCTTTACTTTCCTTCCCCTCCTCACACTCCAAGCAGACTCTCGTTCCCTTCCTTGCTGCCCCTGCACAGGTCACCTACGATGTGCATCTTGCCAAACCCAGATGTCAACTCCCAATTCTTTTGGAAAGGACTTCCCAGGTGCATCTGCCTCGGGGGCTCACTCCTTCTTCCAGAGCACCTGAGTCTCTCAGCTCCCAGGCCTCCACAGTGTCTGGGTGGTCTCCTCAGCAGCCACCCCTTCCCAGACATGGTGGCTCAACTGCTCCCATCGGCTCTGCCAGCCTCAAAAAACACAAGCGCTCAGGGTCTCAGGCCTCATCTCTCCGCACCCCCCCACACTCTCTAGAGGATCTGGTTTTCTCACCCACTTCCACGGCTCTAAATGCCGCATCTACACTAAGCAACATATACTATTCTATTGAACGCGACTTTATTGCGTTAGCAGGACTCCATTTCACTTTATCAATCATCAACAATTTAGTGTCTAAATGAGAGGTGCTGTAAGTATAAAATACATACCAAGTTTCCAAGTCTATTATAAAAAAACAGAAGGTATATGTTTCATGAATCGTTTTCATATTGATTACATGTCTAAGTGACATCATTTTGAATATTAACATTAGATTAAGTAAAATATATTATTCAAACATTTTAAAATACCGTCTATACACTGATATCTCCCAAATGTACCAACCCTGCCCAGACCCCTCCCCCAAGCTGCAGGCCACTATGAACTCCACATTATACCCACTATGCAGGACACGCCCACTGTGGACCCCACGGTACTCATCACACTTCAAACTGGGTACCTCCAAAACCAAACACACTGCCATGGCTCCTCCCAAGTCACCCCAAGACTCCTCGGGGCCACTGCTGCAAGTGGCAAGTAGCAAGTGGGGCTCTCCTAACCCGGTGTGAAGTCAAACCCTCAGGGGCCCCGTCGGTGTCCACTTGCCCTCAGCCCCTACAACATACAATCAGCAGGTCCTCTCTGCTCCGCCCCAGACACCGCCCCTCAGCACCACCCAGTGCTCCCACCACATCCACACTGCACAGCTCCTGGCCTCCATTGCTGGGACAATCTTGAATGGCCTCCCTGATGCTATTCTGACTCTGTGTGGTGCTCTAAGAAAATGTAAATTGTAGCCCACTCACTCTCAGAGCCCTCCCAAGGCTGCCACCTCTCGCAGGCATTGTCCAAAGCCTTCACCGTGGCCTGTGAGATGAAGAAGACCTGCTCCCCGCCTTTCTCTCCAACCCCCACCCCATCTGCGATGACTGTCCAACTCCTCATTCTTGGGAAGCCACACAGGTGTTCCTATCCTTCCTCCAGCTCACGACACTCATCTGCGCTGGCAATTGCCGATGCTGTTCCTCCTGCCTGGAGCACCATTCCCCCAATCTGCAGGGACTGTGCATACCTTCACCTCTTCTAGGTCTCTGCTGGATCCCACCTCCCTAGAAGGTCCTTCCCTTGACCTCCCCAACGTGATGAAACACATGCACCCCCCACTCCTCACCCAGGCACTGGCCCTCACTCTGCCTTCCCTCTCTTCCTAGCACTGATCACTAACATGACGTTACAGTCCCTTGTCAACTGCATCTCTCATTCATCCATAAACTCCGGGGGATAGGGACTTTGTCCCATTCTTTGCCACAACCCCAGTGCAAAAACAGTACTTGGCATGTAGCAGACAGTGAATATTTGCTGAATGAGTGAATAAGCTACCCACTTCCTATCCAATGTATTGCCCTACCATGAATATTTTATAATGGCCAATGGACCTTTCAAGAAATGCTCAATAATACATTCTTTAAAAGTAAGAAATGGGAAAGTTTTAAGACAAAAAGAATCTAGATATATCAGCTTGTCTGGAATACAGAGATGTATCTGAAAATCAAACAATCTTTTTAATTTTCTTTCCTTTCTTTTTCTTTTGGAGACAGAGTCTCGCTCTGCCACCAGGCTGGAGTGCAATGGTGTGATCTTACCGCAACCTCCGCCTCCTGGGTTCAGGCAATTCTCCTGCCTCAGCCTCCCAAGTAGCTGGGATTACAGGCATGCGCCACCACACCCAGCTAATTTTTTGTATTTTTAGTAGAGATGGGGTTTCACATGTTGGCCAGGATGGTCTCCATCTTTGACCTCATGATCCACCCACCTCACCCCCCAAAGTGCTGGGATTACAGGTGTGAGCCACCGCACCTGGCCGATCTTTTTAACTTCTAAACATCTTTGTATTTTAGCCATCTAATTAATATAATCTTTAAAAAGAAATCACTATTTCCATGTATAGCTCTTCACTTCAAGGTCCTAAAAGCTGCCACTTACAGAGATCTAAGATGCTAACCTCACTCAGAACTTGATTGTCACATACACTTCACAGCTGGGCCATGCCACTGAGTTGCCATCAGCATGCCAGCATGCTTACGGAACTACACTTAGCTGGAAAGCCAGCTCAAGGTGACCTAATGGGGAAAATGCTTGCTGGTGGAAGAGAATTCCCCCTGCCTTCAATGAAAGCTGTCTCTAGTGCCAACAAGTGCCCCACCAGATGCTCAGGCAGCACTAAGTCTCCATGGCACCCCTCACGGGGAAGACCTCTCACTCAGAAGGCCAGTGGCAGGACATGCCCCACAGGCCGGTCCAGGCCAAGTCCCTGCTCAACCTGCAGGTTCCTTCCATCGTTCCTTCAATGTACACTCACTCACTGAGCACTCCTGTGCCAGGCTGCATGCGGGGCTTGGGGTGCCCACAGGCACGGCACAGCCCTTCCCCACGGGAGAAGAGTACTTGGGGAAAACCAATAATTACCCGGCAGGACAGGAGGGACCCTGGGGTAGGACATGCCAGTGGATAAAGGTGCAATATGCACACCCATCTCCCCTGCTCCTCTGGCATTCTCAGCAACTGGAACACGGCTCTGGAAGAACACCAGAGCTGTTAAAAAAAAAAAAAAAGAGGAATCTGTGCCCAGGCTTGCTACACACAGTTTTCTCCTTCTGTCCTAATCTCTACATCCTGCTTATGACACTCACTCGGGGAGAGTGAGATAGTTTGCGAAGATTACCTTTGGGAGCATTTTGCAAGATAAGCTTCTGGACTGGAGTTTCTTGACACTGACATCTGAGATGGGATGAGTGTGTGCTGGGGAGCGAGGCCCCACAATGCTGCGTCATCACATATTGGGCACCATCCCTGGCCTCCACCCTCTAAAGGGTCAACAGCACAGCCAGTTATGTCCATTAAAGCATCTCCAGACACTGCCATACGTCTGTCAGTTGAGAGCCACTGCTGTAGAGAAAAAGGACTCTGTGGCCCCATTTGCTGTCCTAAAGGGAGAGAGGGTCACCAGCCACCTTGAGAAAGGAAGGCGCAGCCCCACTCGGGCTTGGTGAGTAGCCTGCCAGGCCCTCTGCAGCCTGGTTCCTGCCTACTTTCCTGCTTCACATTTTACTCACACTACCGTCTGCACCAGAGCCTCCGAGCCCACCAAACACCTGCTCATCTCCCGGCCTCCCCCCTCGCTCCTATTTCCACCTGTGCGAGCTTTCCTCTCCTCTGAAACCCTGCTCCTCCATGGAGACTCAGCTGAGCCCCCCTTCTCACAGGGGCCTCCTCTGACTCCTCTGGCCAATCAAAATTAACTTCTCCTTGACGTATGTCCAATAAAAAACAGCATCTTTCTCTCTCGACCTGCCCCTCGCTGCTTATTACAGAGAGCCCTAAGTGTCTCCTCCCACAAGACCACAAGCTTCTTGAAGGGAGAGACTGCTCAGCACCCCCAACGGCACCTAGGACAGCTCCTAGTGCATCCAGAGTCTAGCGGATCCCTGAGTTTGGGCTGAGGTTTGGCTTGGAAAAATGACATCCGTCCTTGTGCAATCCACACAACCCAGAAGCAGAGCATTCCTGGGTCAGCAGTGACCTCAGGGATCATCTAGCCTAATCTCCTCATTTTACAGAAGAAGAAACCAAAGCGCAGAGTGCAGAAGGTACTCGGTCCCAGGGCCCAGGGTGAGCTAACGGCTGCTGGGATCCTGGCCGCTGACTCCTGATCAGACATTCTATTTACTGCATTATCCTATCTCTTGCTGGCAGAGGGCGATGAGTGCAATAAACGAAGAGGTGCTGACATGAACGAAATAACTGCTGCAGGCAGGAGAAGTGAGAAGATCTGGGTGACTCACGCCTGTAATCCCGGCACTTTGGGAGGCCAAGGGGGCGGATCACCTGAGGTCAGGAGTTTGAAACCAGCCTGGTCAACATGGTGAAATCCGTCTCTACTAAAAACACAAAATTAGCTCGGCGTGGTGGCGCATGCCTGTAGTCCCAGCTACTTGGGAGGCTGAGGCAGGAGAATCGCTTGAAAGCGGGAGGCAGAGGTTGCAGTGAGCTGAGATCACACCATTGCACTCCAGCCTGGGCGACAAGAGTGAAACTTTGTCTCAAAAATAAAAAATAAAAATGACTCTAACAAGTCTGCTACAGATGCCTCTCATTTTCAGTCCACTGGCTTGGGACATCACATACCTAGGCCCCAGTGGAGCTAACTAACCTGGGGAAACATGGAAAGTGTCCTTTTTCCTAAGTCACAAAGACACTGGCTTCTGGTTACATGAATATAAAAGCATGTATTAAATAAGGTCAAAAATTCAAACAATTATCACCCACATTTAGGCCCCCAAAGACCCATTAGCTCAATGATCTAGATTTTTTAGGAAACAGTCCTGCTTGACTTTCCTTCTACTTTTGAATACACCTGGTTCCTGTATCTTCCATTTGTATTTATTCTGTTTAATCAATACTCATGCCAGCTTTATACCCTCTCTATGAACAAGGTGACAATTAGCCTTATGGATCATTTCTCATGGGCTGACCAGATCCAAACAAGTAAATTCAGCAGAAAACAAAATTGTCCTTATTTGCTGTTGTTTCAGGCAGGTGACTAACTCCAAGAATGGCTTGCTCGCTCTCGTGCTCTCTCTCTCTCTCTCTCTCTCTTTTTGAGATGGTGTCTCACTCTATCACCCAGGCTGGAGTACACTGGTGTGATCTCAGCTCACTGCAATTTCTGCCTCCCAGGTTCAAGCAATTCTCCTGCGTCAGCCCGAGTAGCTGGGACTACAGGTGCCTGCCACCACACCCAGCTAAGGTTTGTATTTTAAGTAGAGATGGGGTTTCTCCATGTTGGCCAGGCTGGTCTCAAACTCTTGACCTCAAGTGATCCAGCTGCCTCAGCCTCCCAAAGTGCCGTGACTACAGGCTTGAGCCACCACACTCGGCTGAAGACAAGCTTTTTCATTAGACAAATACTACAGTGCATAAAATTTAAGTCATACCCAAATTCAAGAGAAACAGTATCAGGAAAATTCCACAAACCCTACTGTAAACGGCATCTTTTACCTAATACCCTAAAATGCGAACCATTTCTCTAAGTGTTTCTCTAGGAATCATGATACAGATTCAAAAGAGTGAGGCCTGGTCAATTCTTAGCCTGACAGGTCTCCCAGGGGTAGTTGCTAAGGCCCTTGTGAGAGGAGGCTTGTAAGAGGCTGCCAGGATGGGAATTACTTTCATCAGTGGTCAGCTCCAGAAGCTGCCATCATATCCAGCCTGTCCTCCCTGGTGGGGACCAAAGCCAACAAGCCAGGCCCAAGCCCTCCAGTCTCCACATAGAATCCAGCAAGTCCAGGGACAGGGGAGAAGACAGAGCTGACCAGGGTGGCAGACCATGGCCTGAGGGCTGTGGCATTTGAGGCAGGCATTAAAGACTGCAAAAATATTGAGAGGCAAAAATCAGAGGTAAAGCCAGAGGAGCAAAGGCAGGAAGATGGGAACAGAGAGCAAAGTATAAACAGAGTCGCTGGATTAGAGCAGGAAGGGCTGAGAAGTAGCAGCTGAACATAAGGGCTTGGCAAAAGGCTGGAACCTGCAAGGGCCAGGGTTCACATGCCACACCAAGGAGCTGGCACCTTCTCCTGTGATGCTGAGCAGGGAGCCCTGAGGGTCGCGGAAAAGTTGCCTTGAAGATGGGTTTTCAGAAGTCTCCGCCATCCTGCAAATCACACAGCCTGACCGTGTGCGGGGGACGACACGCATCCAATTCAATGAGCAGGCAACTGTTGGGTCTCCACAGCCCATCATGCTTCTTCCTGTCTCTCAACCAAAGTGACAGCCGCAGAAGTGTTCCGCAGCATCTGCGGGTCCTAACGATCAGGTTTCACTCATTCTAAACCAACCGATCCGGGAAAAGAATGGTCAGGGGTTCTTCTGTGAGCGACACGGCTTTCTTTTTCAGAAGATTTCTCTTCTGAGAAAATCCGAGAGAGACAAACCAACACCAAAAAGAATTAAAAAGTAATGGTGTTTGTTTAACGGTTAGGATGGAAATAGATTTATGTTCCAAAAACCAAATGAATAAGGCTGTGCACTACTCAATATCCTGACCCAGGAGGGTTTCTTTCCTTCAACTAAAAATAGATGCAATTTTCAGTGTCACACAAGTCAAGGCAGCTCAGGAGTAGATTAATCCTTCTAAATGAAAGGTCAGCCTGCAGGGAGGCTGTGGGGAAAGGCTCTGCACATACCCCGTCTACAGGAGCGCAGACCGGGATAACCTTTTTAGGGGCAATTCGGCAATACTGATCAAATCTCCAAATGTGCTCATCCTTTGACCCAGCAATTCTACTCCTGGGAATCTACTTTACAGAGGGACTTCCCTAAGTGTGTGTGTCTTCTTTATTTATTTATACATATGCTATATATCATAAGCCCTGTAGACGAACGTTTCCTGCATCACCATTAGCAGTGAGGAAAAAAGTGGCAACCACATAGGTGGTCATCAACAGAGGGCGAGTTAAAGAAGTACAGTCTATCTAGATGACAGGGTTGTGCCCAGCAACCGAAAGAGTAAGGCAAATATTACATAAAATGAAGCAAAAAGATCTGATGAATAATTAAATAATGTGAGTGTATGTGTGTGGGGGATATAAATGCATTTTTTAAGTTCAGCAATATAGAACCAGACGGTTGATAGTAGTTCTACTTATTTTTTTTTTTTTTTTTTGAGACGGAGTTTCGCTCTTGTTACCCAGGCTGGAGTGCAATGGCACGATCTTGGCTCACCATAAACTCCGCCTCCTGGGTTCAGGCAATTCTCCTGCCTCAGCCTCCTGAGTAACTGGCATTACAGGCACGCGCCACCATGCCCAGCTAATTTTGTGTATTTTTAGTAGAGAAGGGGTTTCACCATGTTGACCAGGATGGTCTCGATCTCTTGACCTTGTGATTCACCCACCTCGGCCTCCCAAAGTGCTGGGATTACAGGTTTGAGCCACCGCGCCCGGCCCAACAGTAGTTCTCCTTTTAAGTAAGAGATTCGCTTGAAGCAAGAGCAGGAAGGAGGGCAACACAAGCTCTGCACTTTAAAGTTTCTACAATCTTGGCCTCTTTTATTAATATTTTTACATCTTCAGAAGTATGCATAACTCATATTAATAATTTTTAAAAGATGAAATCTAGAAAAGTAAAGTCAAATCAATGAGCTTGGGGATCTCAGATGAAGTCTGAAGCTTTTTAAATGTACATACTTATTTTTTTTTAGAGAGATGGGGGTCTCACTACATTGCCCAGGCTGGATTCAAACTCCTGGGTTCAAGCAATCCCCCCACCTCAGCCTCCCAAGAAGCTGGGACTACTGTGGGGGACTTGTCCTGGCACCTGCAACTTTCTGTTAGGCATGTGCCCAACAAAATCTGAAGCTGTTAATCCTACCAGGGTATAAGGTTCTCTCGCTACTGGATCATAGTCTCGGGTCAGAGACCTGTTCATGGCAATCCCAGGCACCTGCCCTAGGATGAGGCATAGCAGGGACTTGAGGAATGCTGGCTGGATGAATGGATGCAGGGCAGGAAAGTACAGTTCATTCGTCTGTGTTCACAGAGTTCTAGAAGCAGCTCTGGATGGTTGTCCATTCCCTAGCATCAGCAACATGAGATGAGCAAATGGGGCTTGGAACCACGGGCCTGGGACTTCCATCTTGACACTTACTAAGTGTGAATGTAACTTGCTCACCTTCCCCAACCATGGAGAGATGGGGCTGTCCTGATTCAGGCAGAGGCATCTTCCAGCTCTAACTGGCTGAGAACAGAATGCTCTGGGGGGAGATTTCACTGGCATGGAAGACTCTAGGCCACAGAAGGCTGGAGAAGGTACGACTGAAGGGGAGAGAGGCTTGGGCCTGGCAAGCTAGAATGGGGGTGTTTTAGGGGGCATGGAGAATTCCTGCAGAGCTCTAAACCCTGGAAGCAGATGAGGGCAATGAGAATTTGGATAAATCACTTTAGTTCTCCTAGTTAATTTCGCTCATCTAAACACAGAAATGACATTATGGGCTTTTCAGAATTGCTGTAAGATTTAAGTGAAGTAACCCATGTACCCAGCACAGGACAGCAGTCGGAGAACTCCTCTCACACCTGACTCCTGGGACTATGGGTCCCAGGGTGGCCATTGTTCTGTTCTGGGCCACTTGCCGGAGCAATCGACAGCCCAGGTGGACACCATGCAGGGCCTGCAATGCGGCCAAAACTCGCCTGGAATCAGCAACTTTTTAGCCCACAGAAAATCACTTGGCCTATATAATTATAAGCTCCCGTTTCTTCATCTGGCCACCGTTGCCATCCCTTGAGATGAAGCGAACCTCAATCTCGGCCCTCACGCTGCCACCGTCTGTATTCTCCTAGTAAGCAATTCCCCTATACTGTGCTTCTTGTTTCTTGGTATCGAATTCAGATTTGGAGTTGCTGGGATTCACTTTCACTCTGGACTCTCCACTGCCACCCCGTCCCCACGGCCCCTCCCTGGTTGAGGTGCAGCCCTCTCTGCAAGTCACCTAGTGCTGGGGCAGGAAAGATTCCATATGCAGAGTGCAGTGCACACACCAGCGTTCACAGGAGTCAGGAAACAGGGACTCTGTACTCACTGGCTCACTTTATGGTACAGCTTAGCAATGCCCTGGTGGGTCCAATCCTTCCCAAGGGTAGGCAAAATGTGGCCAAGAGTATCCGATCTAAATGAAGAGAAAAAGAGAAAAATAAAGTTAAAATCCCATTCAGATTCATCACACCATTCAGACCTCATTTAAAAAAAAAAAAAGAAAGAAAAGAAAACACACACAAACTAGACCCATGACTTTCTTTCTGGATAGAAAGCCCAAGTCATCAAAGTTGATGCTGACAGAGGGACATGGTAATCCACAGAAGGACACCTCTAGTCTGATCACGCATCAAGGCGCCTGGCTTGCTCAATCAAAGGGAAAAGGCCATTCCAAAAGGGCGTTCTTCAGAAGCCCGGACAGAAGCAACCAGGTCAGAGAGACAATACCCCAGAGGGACACAACCACCAAGCCCTGAACACAATGGCTGACACCAAGGAGCTAAAACCACAAGAGCAGCTCCAACTGCACCAGAAGTGGGACTGTGCAAGTCCCATGCAGGGAGCAGAAGTGCCAACACCAGGCCCGGTGGCCCCACGGTGAAGCAAAGAAATCCACCATGGCCCCCAAGTCAGCAGGACCTACCTGGTGATCGTCCCATCAATATCAGAAATGATGACTTTATCGTCCCAGTTCCACAGATAGATGGTGCCCTCACAGCGGCAGGTGCCTTGGTACTGCGTGGTGACGCTGAAAACCACGTCATTGGGGCCATTCTTCAACTTCAAGCTTTTCTGAAAAAACACGAACCATTAATATTTGTCTGCTTGAGGAAAAGGCCCTGATTGATGGGCATTTGGCTTCTGTTCCATGAGAAGCAGGATAAGGCTTTAAAAGCAAGTCACTGTCCTGGACCCTTGTATAATTCTTTCTCCTCCCTTCCTTGTTCTGGTTCTTTCTGGGGCTGGACAGGCAAAATGAATCCTCGGCTCTCTCAGGCTCCCTTATGATGCAACGTGCCTGCTTGCTACAGAGGTGTTCTACTTCCCAGGATGGTGCTAATTCAATTCAGTATTTTCAGATTAGAGTCATCGGCCAGGGTGAAATGATGGGCTCTATGGCATAATCAATCACAGGCCACACTTAGCACTCCATGACTAAATAGGAAGGTCATGGTTCAGGGAGACGAATTTAAGCCTAGTGTGAAAATACATTTCCCTAGGTAACCATGTTTTTCAATGATGATTATACTGACACAAACTGGAAAAAGAGAAGTCTCAGTTACCAGTCGTGCCTCCTATCCAAAAGAATATAGTCTAGACCCAAATAAATTACACCAAATTCAAAACGTAAAGTGATTTTTGAGCAGTGTTGAGTCTCTGGGCCGGGACTCCTGGTGCACACCAGCTGGTGGTTCAGACCCGCAGGCTGCCTGACTGCAGGTGTGCCCAGTGTCGCCAGGGGAGCCATGAGTCGCACAGAGACTCCCAGGCTACAGGGTCCCACACGTGGCCTAAGTGGCTGTCTGGGCCTGTCCCTTATCATTTCCTAGTTAACACCCTCACACCTGAGCCAGGCTCCCCACTAACTCTTAAGAGAAATGTGGAAGACCTGACACAAAGGCGCTCACTGGCCATGACCAGCAGGATCCAAGAAAGGGCTTTTAATTAAAACTGATCTCACACACACAGAAAAAAAAAGGATGCCATGACCAGATGGTCCTCCTGGTTACCCGAAATTCTCTAAATTCTATCACAACTGCTTGATTTCCACGAATTTAAGTGATGCATTTGGGTTAACAAACATCTCTCTTGAAGCAAAAACACGCTCAGGTGATTTTCAAGTCTGTCAGTGATTGACACCTCAGGATGAATTAGCTCCACCAGGCTGCCCTCCTCCTAACTCTAGTAAAGATCCTCCAGGGCCGGCCAGCAAAAGAAGACAAAAGGGAAGGTCACGCTGTGGACCCAGCCTGGATAGTGCTTGAGTTGGGCTGGAAACATCGGGCACCCAGCTGAGGGGCTGTAGGCCCGTCGGGATGAAAGGTGACAGGAAGTAGAAGTGAGGGGCACACCCCAACCATCGCACAGCCTGAGGAGTCTGCAGAAACCTCACATGCTTACAACACAGCTGCGTCAAGCCTGGGAGACTCACAAGCTGCTCGGAAGTCAGCCGGAGAGTCTTCTTGTAGCTGACGTTAGGCAGAAGCGGGAGGTGGCCTGCATTTGACGGCTTGGCAGCTGCACGCTCCTCATCACTGGAGGATGATTCATGCTTTACCCTGGAACACAAAGTGATGTCATCACCAATTAGAAAATGCATCTGGGTAGCCATGAAAAATGCGTCAGCCCTGGATCGATGACTAAGTCAATCCAGTCTCTCCTGAGTCCCGTCTCTTGGGTGGTCATTTACCATAAGAAGTTAAATTTATCAGTGAACTCTCACTACGTCCCCATTCATGCATCTCTCGCATTACACATGTGGGGGCTGCCTCTCCTCCTTCACTTGCCTATTGATGAACTACCATCACTATTTTAAGCCAACAGGTTCCTATTCATGACAAGCCGGGTTAAACTCCCTGTTGGCCTAGGAAGACGCTGTCTTCTCTATCTCTGATCTCTTCCTGAGACTGCAGACCAAGCGCTACCAGTCCAAGTTTCTACCAGTCCAAACTCATCCGTCAGTTCCCTGTATAAAGCTCACCAAATATACAACTCCAAGCAATGAGGGCCTTTCTAGGACTTATGACAGGTGCCAGTGAAAGCAAGGAAGACTCACCAATTCTCCCCTCCAGGATCCCCCAGTGGCTCATCCCATGAGCAAGGAATACACCTGATTTCCCTGCTCAGAATACACAGGTCAGTGCCCCAACTCTTCTAGACTTTTTGTTTAGTGGGGAGCTGGGAGGTGCAGGGTGGGAATCAGGCTCGTTTTCTTTAAATAGCTCACATAAAGCATATCTCTAGTTAGCTGTTCACTCAATGAAAATCATGCTACGACATAATCCCCAACCCAGTAGTATTAGCTCTGCCTCCCAGGACCACTGTCTTTGAAAATGCCTCAATGCTATATAAAGTGCTTAGTAAATGCCTTACATTAAACGGAAAAGGCTGAGTGGCCCTAAAGCAGCACATCCCAAGCCCTCCGGTATTTTGCCTTCCTACAAAGCTTCCAGCTCAGCACCTTCCTCTAGGCAACGTTAGCGTATACACAGCTCTAGCTTATTTTTTTAAGTCTTTATTTTTTATTTTTCTACTGACATATTAATTGTAGATATTTATGGGGTGCATGTAATATTTTGATAAATGCATGTATTTGCATATGTCAAACTATCATGCATACCCTGATCAAATCAGGGTCATCAGCATATCTGTCACCCCAAACAGAGATCATTTCTTTGTGTTGGGAATATTCCAAATCTTCTCTTCCAGCTATTTGGAAATGTATAAAGTACTGCTAACTATAGTCATTTTACTGTGCTATCAAATGCTAGAACTTCTTCCTTTCATCTAACTGTATGTTTGTACCCATTAACCAACCTATCTTCATCCTCCTCTCCCCCTTACCCTTCCCAGCCTCTGGTAACCACCATTCTACTCTCTACCTCCTTGAGATCAACGTTTATAGCTCTCCATATTTGTCTTTCCGTGCCTGGCTTATTTCACCTGACATAATGGCCTCCAGTTCCACCCACGTTGCCACAAACGATCGGATTCCCGCCTTTTCAAGTCTGAACAGTACTCCGTTGTGTACAGGTATCACATTTATTTCATCCATTTATCCACTGATGAGGTTGGATCCACACCTCAATTCCTGTGAATCGTGCTGTGATAACCACGGAGGTGCAGGTGTCCCTTTGACATTCTGATTTCCCTTCCTTTGGATAAACAGTCAGTAGCGGGATTGCTGGATTGTACAGTAGTTCTATTTTTAGTTTTCTAAGAAATCTCCATACTGTTTTCCATAACAGCTGTACTAATTCACGTTCCCACCAACAGTGTTTGAGAGATCCCTTCTCTCAACATCCCTGCGAGCACGTGTTACTTTTTGTCTCTTTGATCACAGCCATTCTAACTGGGCTGAGATGCTGTCTCACTGTGGTTTTGATTTGCACTTTCCTGATTAGTGATGTTAAGTGAATGGGACTACATCACACTCAACAGCTACTGCCCAACTAAGGAAACAGCAGAGCGAAGAGATGACCTTTTAAACGGGAGAAAATATGTGCAAACTCCGCATCCGACAAGGGGCTGATACCCAGAATGTACAAAGAACTCAAACAACTCAACAGCAGAAAAACAAACAATCCCATTTAAAAGTGGACAAAGGAAATGTCACAGGACACACCAGTGTGCGTCTTATCTTTTCATCTCAATAAACTCTCTCCTCTCAGTGCTAACTTCCTCTCATCCTACCACCCTGGTCCCACACCCTTGCCTCCCTTAAGATCTCCTCTGCAACCTACAGCTTTCTGACCCCGTAAGCGTTCATTTAAGAAGTGATCTCCAGCCTTGCAACATGGCAAAACCCATCTCTAGAAAAAATACAAAAATTAGCTGGGTGTGGTGGGATGTCCCTGTAGTCCCAGCTACCTGGAAGGCTGAGGCAAAAGAATCACTTGAACTCGGGAGGTGAAGGTTGCAGTGAGTCAAGATTGCGCCACTGCACTCCAACCTGGGCGACAGAGTAAGACCTTGTCTCAAAAAAGAAAAAAAGATCCCTACAACTCAATACTGCCCACTACTGGGGAGATGTGAAGGAGGACAGTGTCCCACAGCGCCCCCACTTCTGTGTTTCTACCACACTTGTGCAGAGACATGGCTCTTTCCAGTCCTAGAATGAGCAGACCCTCCCTAAGATCTGCTCCCCGGGCCCCAGGAGAGAGAGGTCTGTGGGCTTTGGGCTGGGGGCCAGCAGCTCATTCAATCAACACTCAAGCGTACCACGCCAGGCATCAATGACACGGCAAACAACCTGTTCCCACTCGTGCAGAGTTTGTGACTAAACAATCACAACACAGAAACCTGGGCTGAAGACAAAGATTTGGAGATTCCTGAGACAGAGCCCTGGGGAACAGGCCATGGGAACAGGAGTCTGTGCTGTAGGAGAATGGAGCATCCACTAGAATGATGGTTGGTCTGTGGCAGAGGTAAGCTACGCGTGGATGGAACAATCCCATGACAATGGGGGCTGATTCTGACTCTTGGTAGAGTGGAGATGGCACAGCGGTTAGACTCTGAAAAACACAGGTTTCCAGCCTCTGATAACTTCGGGCTGTATCACCTTGGAGAAATCTTATTTCTTTTTTGTTGTTGTTGTTTTTTTGAGACAGAGTCTCACTGTCGCCCAGGCTGGAGTGCAGTGGTGCGATCTCAGCTCACTGCAACCTCCACCTCTCAGGTTCAAGAGAGCCTCCTGAGTAGCTGGGGCTACAGGCGTGCGCCACCACACCCAGCTAATTTTTATATTTTTAGTAGACACGGGGTTTCACCATGTTGGACAGGATTACCTTGATCTCTTGACCTCATCATCTGCCGACCTTGGCCTCCCAAAGTGCTGGGAAATCTCCTATGCAACCTACAGCTTTCTGACCCCATAAGCGTTCATTAAGAAGTGAGGCACCTGGCCTCAGCCTTGATTTCTTTATGTTTAAATGCAGAGGAACAACTGAATCACACCCACCCAAAACTTCAGGATGCAAGCAAGTAAGAGACTGGAGACACCTGGACTGGAAGACGGGGACATAAGCCCCAGCAAAGGCCTCATCCGAGAGGATACCTCCCTGGGCCTCAGCAGGCTCATCTGTAAAATGACCCGATCCAACCGAAGTCCCTTCCAGTTCTGACATCTACAGATCCTATGAAAATGCTTGTTCTTCTGAACCAACAACCTGGAGGTTTTCAGATGGGGTATATGTGGTCCTGGAGACAGTACAGGCTGGCAAATGCTGCTGGGGACGGGGCGGGCAGATTTCCTTGTCAAGCAGAAGAAGAATGAGGCTACAGGGCCCTCATTGAATGGGAAAATGTTTATGTTCCAACCAAACAGTTTGGAGTGAAATGAGATCCAAATGTGAAGCAAAGCTCTTGGTGACAACAGATTGATGTGTACCTCTGCCGGCGGGATGAGGAGGCAAGGCGGAATAGCTGTGATTTCCATCTGCTGCTTTGAAAAAAAAGAAAAGCCACTAAATTCGTGCAGCATGCCATGTTTGAAGGAACACAGAAAGGAAAACACAGATACAAAGACTAAAATGCGAGATGTGCAGTTGGCTGTTGGTGGTTTCGGCTTGGGACAAGTACACGGTCATTTGTGGCTGCCACGTCCCAGATCGCACCACCCTGCACAGAAGAAAATGCCTCCTGTTCAGAAGCCCCCACCCCATCCCTTACAATGGCTCATTAAATGTTGCTTGCTTTACAGGATCTGCAAGAAGCAACAAAACAAAACAAAAGGGCTCATGTCACTCGAAAATGTGTGCACAGAAGAGTAGCTGTGAACATCTAAGTTAGCACTTGTCACTGTTCGCGTTTCAAACGGTATTTTAATTATTTGTACAGTGGCAAGCTGTTTGCTCAATTACGGATCTTCAGGGACTGTTCTGTCAATTGAGTCTGTCAATTAGGAAAACATTCCAACACTTTTTTTTTTAGTCAACTGCATGACTCTAATAAGGAGACTCGAAGTCTGAGATGCAAGTATAAATTAAAAGGTTTACATTTTTCAAGAGAACCTTTTACTCTTTTCAAAATCTGAGTTCTTTTTCATGAGTCGATTCTCAGTTCTTCAGGTTTGGTAAGGAACCATAGCGTGACTCACTCAGAATGGCGGATGGTCCAGCTGTTTGTATTTGACGGGGAAAAGCATTTTTGCCCACATTTCAATATGATGGTATCGGACAGTGAGAAAATCCATGACACCCCAAGTAAGCCGTAAGAGCTGAGATTCCAACTTGGGAAGAGCTGCGGAAGTGTCTCACTGCTCTCCCCACTCTCCTGGGGTCCTATCTGCTATGGCTAAAAGGGGTAAGAGAAGGGGTTAGAGCAGAGATGGAACCAGCGATGCCACTGTGCCTTCTGTATATGGGACCCTTTTAGTGGCTATCCTCCTCCCTCCCTTGTAAACCGGACTCTCTGACCCTGAGGCCCATCTTCCCCTAGGTTTAAGACTGGCTGTATTAGTCCGTTCTCACACTCCTATGAAGAAATACCCAAGACTGCATAATTTATAAAGGAAAGAGGTATTAATTGACTCACAGTTCCACATGGCTGGGGAGGCCCCAGGAAACTTACGACCATGGCAGAAGGCAAAGGAAAAGTAGGCACCTTCCTCACAGAGCAGCAGGATGCGGGGGTGCAAGGGGGGGAAATGCCAGACGCTTGTAAAACCATCAGATCGCGTGAGAACTCACTCACTATCACAGAACAGTAGCATGGGGAAAACTACCCCCGTGATCCAATTCCCTCCACCTGGTCCCTCCCTTGACACATGGGGATTATGGGGGTTACAATTTGCAGTGACATTCAGGTGGGGAAACAGAACCAAATCTTATCATTCTTCCCCCCAGCCGTCCCAAATCTCATGTCTTTTCACATTTCAAAACCAATCATGCCTTCCCAACAGTCCCCCAAAGTCTTAACTCATTTCAGCATTAACTCAGAGTCCACAGTCCAACGTCTCATCTGAGACAAGTCCCTTCTGCCTATGAGCCAGTAAAATCAAACACAAGTGAGTTACTTCCTAGATACAATGGGGTTACAGGCATAGGGTAAATAACACCTGTTCCAATGGGACAAACCAGCCAAAACGAAAGGGCTACAAGCCCCGTGCAAGTGTAAAATCCAATAGGGTGGTCATCAAACCTTAAATTTCCAAAATGATCTCCTTTGACTCCATGTCTCAAATCCAGGTCACGCTGATGCAAGAGGCAGACTCCCACAGCCTTGGCCACTGGGCAGAGGGCAGGATGGATTTGGCAGACATCTTGCCTTCAGCCCACAATGTCTATTTTAAAACGCTTGAAACTGTATGGTTTGAGACTGAACTTGTGTCCTCCAGGTGACCGCAGAGCCGCCTCCCCAATTGGTTTCTCTACTCTGGATCATTTTCTCACGAAGTTGATGCAAAGACCCAGTGAGATGGGGTCTGCCACGTCGGTGTTATTTTTAACCCTATGTTTCACAGATGGAGATGCTGAAGATCATACTGAAGGCTGTTAGACAAGGTCCCTGCTCTACATCCTGCTCTGTGCTACCTCTTGTGTTTAGAAACTATTGCTGAGACAGAGACAGTTCCTAAAATGAATTCCATGAAAGCGGGGCATTTCTAGTGAAGTTATTAAAGTTGGTTTAAATTGATGAGGGCACACAGTTTGGCATCTTTGTGTGTCTCTTACGGGGTAACGTGCCTCCCAGGCAGCTTCCAGGCCAGCTCCATCCCAGCCTGTCTGGCCACTGATAGTAACACTGGTGCCTCTGCTCAGATGCGTCAGGGAGCTCGCCTGAGGTCCAATGGTTACCAAGGAGCAAAGCTGGGATTCCAAACCAGACCTGCCTGACTCCAAAATTGGCTGCTTTCACTGCAGCTTGTGGAGTAAACAACCATTTATTTTTTAAAGTCTGGTTGACTCCATCCTCAACACACCTGCCCTCTCCCTTCCAAGCGCACTCACAGCCAAACTCAGAATTCCCAGCTGGGAAACATCAGTACCCTGGTGCCTTTCCATTCTTTCTTGTTCCTGCAAAGCACAGACCAATGGCAGGTCAGGGGAAAGGCCCAGGGGACACCACTGGGGAAACGGAACGGTTTCCCTTCAAGAGCATCCCTAGCGAGAGCAAGCCAGGCCGTTCAGAGTCACATTCAAACTCACTCCTACCAGGTCCCGCACACTCGTCTCTAGCCCGTCCTTCTCCACAGAGAACAGTAAAGAAATCAGATCGTTTCCTACCTGCCTCCCATGTGGGTTTCTGTTTGTAGCAAAGAATCCTAGAAGTAAAATTGTTTAAGATACAGAGCCATGGCCAGGAGCCAGAGAATAGAAACCCACGCCTGCCTCTCCCATAAATCAACAACACATGGAGAAAACCTCAGCGGTTTAGCAACGCCTTGGAAATGCCTACTCTGTGGGGCACTGGCTTGGCCTCCAAGATTAAAAAATGAGTAAGACGTGGATCTGGCCCCAATTAATCTGTTAGCACTTTCTGTCTGCTAAATAAGAAATGGAATCCTGGATTTCTTAAGCATGGAAACACTGTAAACATGAAGTAATCAGTAAAAGATGGTATAGTGCAAATCGGTCCATGTCGGTATATAATACCACTGTCATAACTAGTGTATAACGGGACTGTCTTCAGGGCAGAGTCACCTCCAATCCCATACAAAGAGATAAACCTGAAGACAAAACACCTGATCAGAAATCACAAATACTGATCAGTATCATCCAAATCCACCTCTCCTATGCTAAGCGAACATGAATCCATATTAAAAGTATCAACATCAGTCCTGGTCAGTATTTAAACTGTAGAGAAAGGCAAGCTCCTTCCGAAGGGAAGCTTATTTCCATGTTAGTGTTAGGGCTATTGCTCATGATTGTCATCACTGTCGTTATTGCCACGGTTATTGTCATTACCGTCATCACCGTCATCTGTGTATAAAGGACTATTGCCTACCAGGACCATGAGAAATGCTCCAGTTATATTATCTCACTTAAGCCTCACATTTATTTTACAAACTGGCTACCTAAGGGAGCAATTCCATCCATTTTGCTTATGGGAAAACCACGTTAAATAAACCGCTCCAGGTCACCAAGTGAGTCACAGAGCCGGAGCTGGAGCCATGCGGTGAACCTGTCTGCATCCAGGCAGCATGTTCCACCAACTCGGATGTGGAAAGGGGCTGCACATCCCAGGAAGCCTCCTACTGCACCTGGTGGCCATGCCGAGCTGCGGCGGTTGCTCTCCGGTGCTATGGCCCTTGCCAACCAAGCACTGCTCTGGCTTGCTTTCCTGGAGAAGGAGAAAAGAAAGAGTCACAGAAGTACCATGGAGAAGGGGCTTGCAGGCAGGTGTTTTCCCATGGGCTTCCTTAAGGCAGGAGCCCTGAAGGTAGACCCTTCCCCAGTGAGGCCCACCCCAGGAATCGCCCTGGGAGGCTCTGCCGGTTTCTGTCGGTGGTCCTGATCACTCCTTTGCTAAGAAGTATACAATCAAACGGACAAATATCTTTGACAGAAGTGAATCTGTTATCCGTAAGCGTTTGTGGCACCAAACCAAACTCCATCATCACTGTAGCTTATGCAAATGCTTGATCAAGGGCTGCTTGGATTCCGGGGGCCTTTCAAAATATTTTCTTGTAATTTTTGATAGAAATTGCTGAAAATATTTTCATACCATATTTTGCTTGGGGAAGATGTGAGAGCATTTTCTTCTTTTCCAGGATCACATACTCTTAACAGAAAATCCTCCCTTGGTGTACTTGGATTTCTAAGAGAACACCTGGGCCCCGTCCCACTTCTCTTGCTTATAAACTTTGGACAAGTCACTTAACTTCGCTTTCTCATCTGGGAAATGGGTGATGTTCTCCGTCTCCTAACTCTGCTATGAAGATTGAAGGAGACGCTGTGTCTGAAACACAGGGCCAGGCACACAGCAGGCAGAGGAGGAGGGAGATGGGCACTGGGCCCCAGACAGAAGAGACCAGAGAGAAATGCCAAGGGACGGAGAGTCAATGACTGACTCTCTTTATCTGTGCTTGTTTGCTCAGGAGACAGGTTAACGATTTCTACTACGGTCCTTTAATAAAGAAGATGAACAATACAAACAATTAGTAGGGTGACTGTCTTAACATATGATTAGCATGAACTAATTTCAAATATTCTTTAGGCTTTTTTATAGGCACACAAATAATTGATATAACATGTCCAGCTATGTTCTGTTGATTGAGCCATGTAACAGAACCGCCACTATTAGCAATTTTTTCTTAGGCTACTTCCCAAATATGTATCTAAGTGAAATAAGTATATTTCAGATTTGCAAAGAAATATTTCATTTCATAACTGTTCCTTACTTCACTTAATTCAAACTGGAGAGAATGTGGATATTCTACAAAGTGGCTGAAATATACTTCCACCTTAAATTCTGGAGCATTGTTCTCTAGTAAGAAAACTAGAGAGTCCCTTTATGCTTTAAGTCCTTTAGTATAAAGCATGTATATTTGCACTCATGCGTCTGTAGCCCTTAGAGATCAGTCAAACTGACAAATAGAACTCAGATATGCTAACAGAAGGTGTCAAAGAACAATTATATCTTGATAAAACTCTTCCAGCAAACGTTCTCCCTTTCAACTAATGGCATAAAGAGAGTTCATGGAGGAGGTTTCTCTTATGATTAAAACCACCAACTTGACTGTTGGTTGAGCAATCAGCGTGCCTTCTACTTTCCTTGAGTGATCAGCGTGCCTTCAACAAATATTTGCCAAACCCCTACTCTGGGCCCAATATGGGCACCAGGAACACCAAAGTGATCAGGGCCATATATGGTCTCTGCCTCACGGAGTTTTGGGTCTAGACAGAAAGGAAAGGCTCACCAAATAGTCACACTAGCAATTACATAATTATAAACTGTGACTAAATGTATGGAGAAAAAGTTGACAGGCAGAGGACAGCAGACCAGACTCATCTGCAGAGAAAGGGCTACTGGATCTGCCAGTTAACTAAGCGAAGCAGGGGCTAGGGGCCCACAGAACACTGCATAATGAAAACAGCATGTGCAAAGGCTCCAGGGTAGAAGGTACCTTCAGCCATGGAAGCCAAAGCACAGAGAGCAGAGGAAAACAGCAAAGATGAGCCTAAAGAGGCAGGCAGGGGCTAGAACACACAAGCGCCATAGGCCGTGGTAAGGACACCAGCCTTCATTATAAGAACCCCGGGGAACCACAATAAGGCTTTAAGTGAGGAGCAACATATGTGGGAGCAGCCCCCTAAAGAGACCAATACATCCGCAGTGCAGAAGATGAAGAAGAGAGGGTAAGGATGGCTGCAGAGAGACCATCTGGAAGCACCTCTGGGAGAGGTGACGGGAGAGCAGATTTGTGGGAGCAGAGCTGGAGAGAAATGGACACGTCAGAGAAGTATTTAAGACAGAAAACTGGTAGGACTTGGTGTGGAGGTGAGGCTAAAAGCATGAATCTCACCCACGGATGGACAGTGGTGCCATTTTCTGACTATGGCCACAATGAAGAAAGAACTCTCAAGAATCCCATGAGTTCAATTCTAGAAGTGCTAAGTCTGAAATGCCTTGAGGCATCTGTGTGACAATGCTTAGCTGGCTACTTGATAAGTGGGTGGAGCAGAAAAGAATGTCTGGGTCTGAGACAAAAAATGGAGCCATCGCATGGGCAAAAGGGAAAAGTAAGAAGCGAAAGGAGAAAAGGTGTCCCTAAGATGAGCTTTGAGGACCCCTACTGGAGGAAGCTAAGCCACAGCAGGAGCAGCCTGCGGGGAGGAGGAGGGTCAGGTGGACACAGGGGCCTGGGAGCCAAGCACAGAACGTACTTTAAGAAATAGGAGAGGTCAACAAAGATCTGAAAAAAATCACAGGCACTCATAGAGATGAACACCAAAGCCATGGACCTTTAGACATGCCATTGCAGTGAAATGACTCAGAGAACTAGTCAACTGCCAGAAGTATACCTCATTAAAATTGTCCTCACAGGCTGGGCATGGTGGTTCATGCCTATAACGCCAACACTTTCAGAGGCCGAGGCAGGCAGATCGCTCAAGCCCAGGAGTTTGAGACTAGCCTGGGCAAGATGGAAAAACCTCATCTCTACTAAAAATACAAAAGTCAGCTGTGCATGACTGTACACGCCTGTAGTCCCAGCTACTCCAGAGGCTGAGATGGGAGGATTGCTTGAGCCCAGGAGGCGGAGGTTGCCATGAGCTGAGATTGCACCACTGCACTCTGGCCTGGGTGACTCAGCGAGCCCCTATCTCAAAGAAAAAAAAAAACAGAAAAATAAAAAAAAATTGTCTCCGCAAGCAGAAGGAAGATATTTAATTTCTCAAAAATAACTGAATTCCCAGGCTGAATCCCTTCTTTTATAGGTGACAAAACGTTATCATGCGGAAGTGACTGGACCACAATCTCTCAACGTTACAGAGCCAGGAGGTGACGCCCACACTGCTGGCTCCTGACCTTCCTCCCCAGCTTCCCCACCTTCCATGAGCACCCGCCCTACTTCATGGCAGAGCTGGCTCATGAAAACTCAGCTCTAGGGCCTATTTCTCTGATGTAAGTACACAAAAACCAATGTCCCTGCACAAAACCAAAACCTGCTGAGCTAAGGGCGAGCACTGTTTCATCTTCTGGGCTTACCTCCTTGATCGTGGTGTTTCTTCCCCTCCATGAAAACCACCATCTTCCTCCCTTTTTGGGCATCTTATCCCTCATGATAGCTTCCACAGTGGCCTGTTTTAAATGGATGGTAACATAAATAATGGAACCAAAAAAAGATCAACTTAGCACATTCGAACCAAAAGAAACAGACATGCAAATTAAAGTAAGATTTAAAAAAAAAAAAAAAAAAAATCAGAGAAAACACAACATACTATTTGTGGGTTAAAAATTTTAGAAAAGCAAAACCTAATGGCGTCCAAAATTACATGAAGGTAACTTAAGCATGAAGACTTAAGAAGATGTTAAAGGAATAAGCGAGCAACGAATAAAATACGACACGACAACAAGAAGAAAAGAAAGCATTAGAGGTCATTAGTGATTAGGAAGACCGGAAGTTTCCAAATCAATGCGGCTAACTGGTTAAGATATTATCACTCTCAGTACAATGGTTATAAAATAAAATATGAAATGATTAATACGGGGTAGAGGATAAAACAGTTTTCAACAAAAGTTAAAATGCACAGGATTTTTACTGTCTACATCAGTTTCTAAATGTTTACATTAATAGATGCATTTGGTTTAAAATCTCAAGTATTAAAAAGAAAATTCCTACTTTTAACTTAGATAAATGAGTTAATGGTGACATTAAATATGAATGGATAATTTTCTAAGTATTTCCAAAGAACAAAATATCTGTTTTGAGGTTAATTCTAGGACCAAGGTAAAAGTTAAGCAATGTCCCTTCCTTGGTTTACGGACCTTTCAGGCAGTTGACCCCTCAGCTAGTAATAAAAGAAAGATTTAAGCCATTCAGTCTAACAGGGTACAGGGAAGCAGACAGATAAGTAATTTACTATGTAGCTAGAAAGATCCCTATCTGACACATACAAAAACCCTACTGCACTAAAATGCAAACCACTCATATCCTGTTCATAAATAGGACAATTCATAAAGCTGTCAATGACTCTATTTCCCCTAAATCCACTCATACATGTAACAAAACCACAATTACTTTAAAAAACAAAGACAAAGAATGGAAAAAAATGAACAGGAGTATTTTCAGTCCTCCACAAACCAATTCTAATGTTTGTTTGAAAAAGAAACAAAAATAGCCCAGAAAATTCTCAGGCAGAAGAGTAGTAAGTAGAACAAGCACTGCTGGATATTAAAATATACCTCAACATATGGTAATTAGGAGAAAGCAGAGTTGGCATGCAGGGACACATATCACAGGAAGAGAAGACAAAAGTCCAGAAATAAATCTCAATTCACAGAGAAATGTGACAGAGGATGAAGCTGTAACTGCCTATGAGTGGTGGTAAGAGTTAGCTGACGCATGGTCCTGGGATAATACAGCAGCCATGTCAGCCCTGTGAGCAGCCCATCTGCCTCCCCTTTCTTGCCGACAGATCCGAAACTCTGTTCAAGTGTCAGGCCGCAATGCACTCAGAGAAGGCTGGCGCAGCTCAGGAGGATGCAACTCACTGGTCGAAGCCGGTCACAGTCATTTCATTGCTTTGCCAAGAACTGCTTTAGAGGTGATCATGCCACCAAGTTTTGGTCAATGAAATATCAGAGAGCTGCCCCCTCCCTCCCACTTCAGATGTGGCTGTATGAGGAGACGAAGTGTACAGCAGTTATCTTGTGACCACAAAGGAAAAGCCAAGGAAGTCACAGAGAAGCTAACCCAAATTCACCAAGCCCGAAACTGCCAACCTCTAAGATGCCTGTCACGTGAGATAATCACTTAAGCCACATTTAGTCATTCCGTTTCCTAAAACCAAAAGCATCTTCACTAATTCAATAACTTCCTGGGGAAAAACTGGCTTGGTTCCTAATACCTCCCTCATTATGCTCAAAATAAAATCTACATGGATGAAAGATTTTTAAATCTTTCAAAATTTCCAAAACTTGTGAAAATATGCTCCATACAAAAGAAAGCACAAAAAATAGATACAGGGCATATTTTCCCAAGTTTTGGAAAAGGAGAAGCAGGGCCATTTTAAGTGTGATACAAAACCCAACAGCCATAAAAGATAAGATTGGCAAATTCTACATTTAAAAATAATTTCTATATTAGAGAAATGGCATATATAGTGTCAAAAATTACTGACTTGTGAAAAGATTTAGTGCGCATATCACGAGGACTCATTTCTTTTACGTTTCAGAGCCTGTGTGTATTTCTTTTTCAGTGAATAAATCCTTTCGCTATATCGCTATTGCAGTGGCCTTTTTTCTTACGGATTTGTAAGAGTTGAGAACAGTAACACCAAAATGTGTCCCAAGTCATGGATACCATGGCAGGGACAAAAGAAAAACCACTCTGGAGAACATGCCCTCAGCCCAGTCCACAAAGATGCTCACAGATAAAGCACCACCAAAGATTAGATTGCAGTCCTCAAATCACAATACACATAGGCACGAACATGCACACACATGCATACTTATGCACATGGGCATGCACACGCACACACGTGCACACTCATGCACATGCACACACATATACGCACATATGCACACACTGACACACACACTGACACACATTTACACACATGCACACCCACACGCAAACCCAGGAAGGAGCAAGCCTAGTATCAACAAAGTCCAAATTAGACCTTCAAGAATCTCAGGTGTTAGAACTTGCTGACTGCCTGCAACATCCTAAGCTGTACAAAGGCTTGCTAAGCACACAAAGGATACAAACAAGTCTGAGGCAGTCTCTGCAGCAAAGAACGTATAATACAGAGGAAGAGCTATCAATGAAAGGATGAACAATTCCTGGCTGACTGTCTAGTGAACTGTTTGGCGGAGGATGAGAACACTGCAGGCCGGCAGGTGGTATGGCTGCCCTCCTAACTCTTCTCCCCTGCAGCCTAGGAGCTGCCCAGGCCCTGTACTGGCTCCTGCCTCAGAGAATCAGTCATGGGCCTGGCTTCCTGACTGGACAGACCTGACATGGGCACGAGCACCTGTACCTGACCCCCGATGCCTGCTCCATCCCGTCCAGGGTGACACTCATCTCCCTCGATCCTCCCTGGGCTCTGCAGTCCAGGCACCTGTCTGCTCGGCCTCTGCCTGTGCCCCTAGCACGGCAGGTATTGAGAGAGACATCCTTGGTCTGCACCGCCATGATTCAGAGGTTTTGCCTTGATAAGGTGGAGGGGGAGCCACGTGCTAGGTGCAAGGGAGATACCTGAAACTCCTGGCCTATATGCTCATGAACTTCAAAAGAGCACAATGGAATTAACTCTGTGGTTTCCAAAATAAAAGTGAAATTCCAACCACCCAGATTAAGCTATCCATCATTCCTAGCGTCCCCTTTGCTTTCTCATGTTAAAGCTCACCTTTGGCAAAGGTTTCTGGAAGGCCTGCATTGCCAGGAGGAGAGGTGCTGCTGTGGTCCAGTTATAATATCTAACACAAAACAATGAAACAGATGTCAAAAAACCGAGGCTCAGGCTGAAAACCTTTCCGATGTCATATAAAGTGGTCAAGGAAAGCTCGGGACTCCACTGAGGTCCCTGAAGAGCTCAGTGCTCTTGCTATTCCCCAGACCACCCCAATCTCCCCCCAGGCAGAGGCTCCCTCCGTCTAACCCCAGCGGAGGCCCAGCAGCAGCCGTGCCAGCAGAGTGAACAGTTGGACATGCCAGCAGCCCAAATTCCACAACGTGCTTGTGGTGTTTCTTGCCACATGTCAAGGAAAAAGGAACTAGGTGTAAAACATCCACGGCAGAAGGGAGAAAAGTTTTCTAATAGTCTGCAAAAATACCTGTACATCCCTTGCCCTCAGATAATGAAGTTTTTCAAGAGGGGAGAGATGTAGGCTACTCTGATACACCCATGTACCACACGGGTGTGACTATTCACATTCAATTAGAACATCGAGCTGGGCATAGTGGCTCACACCTGAAATCCCAGCACTTTGGGAGGCCAAGGTGTGAGGATTTCTCTCTTTTTTATTTTATTTTTTTGAGACAGAGTTTCACTTTTGTCACCCAGGTTGGAGTGCAGTGGCGTGATCTTAATTCATTGCAACCTCCACCGCCCGGGTTCAAACGATTCTCCTGCCTCAGCCTCCTGAGTAGCAGGGATTACAGGCACGCGCCACCACACCTGGCTAATTTGTTTTATTTTTAGTAGAGATAGAGGTTTTGCCATGTTGGCCTGGCTGGTCTCAAACTCCTGACCTCAGGTGATCCACCCGCCTTGGCCTTTCAAAGTGCTGGGATTATAGGCATGAGCCACCACACCTGGCCAAGTGGAAGACTCTCTTAAGCCCACAAGTTCAAGGTTACAGAGAGCTATAACTGCATCACTGCATTCCAGCCTAGGAGACAGAGCAAGACCTCACCTCAAAAAAAAAAAAAAAAGAAAAAAAGGGAAGAAAAGAAAATCTAGTACAGATGAATACTAAAACTCACAAGACTGAAAGCTACCTGAAGCTATCAGCTACACTGCCAATTCTATTGGCAGGGAATTCTGCCAACAGTGAAGACACAGTAATGCAATGTAGCAAAGTCTTTATTCTGTATATTCCTAACTCTTAACGTCCAGGTCTATTTGAAAACATGGAACAGGAACAGTATCACGCCACTGCCAAAGTGACTTTCAAGAGGTACTTACTTACTCCCAATCTTTACCACAAGATTGGGGTCATCGATAATAGCAGGGTTGTCCACAAACTGTTGATACGACACAGCCTGCTCCAGAAATGCATCTGTCACAGCAATCGTAGAGGATCCAGGAAAAAGAAAAAGAAAAAGTCAGTTCTAAGATAGGCCCACCTTTCATCTGCTCACGCGCAAGTGTTTTCTGAGAGTTTGTGCATGCCAACTGTGCGGACAATCCTATCAAATGCATAAACGTATTTGTAAAGGGCACTCCGTTTCATCTGGGGAGGCGGCATCTGCATGGCAGTGCAGGGAGGCCAAGGCCAAGTCTGCGGATGTTGCGGGAAGTATGCCTTAGCTGGGGCACATACGTTCACACAGGGAGTAGCGGGGAAAACGGCATGCACGTACATCTGCGCAGGCAGAGTCATGGCTGCACACAGTGAAGAAGCCAGGCTCCCCTGGCTGAAGCCATGGTTACTGAGGTGACCCCAGGCAAGCGGTTCACTCTCCAGGCCCCAGCTCCCTCGTCTAGCATGGGGATAATAACCCCATCTGCTTCCTACGGTGGTCATGGGGACTGAGAAGGTCCCCATGTGAAAGCACAGTGCCCTTCTGAAAAGAGGGTGCCTCCACCACAATCAGAAGGGCACTGTTCTCATTGTGGGGGGCAGCCCCACCAGGATCAGAGCAGAGGAGAAGGTGGCAGGTTCAGGAGGCCCAGACCTCAGCCCTGGACCCTCAGTTCTTCAATGGGCTCTGGGCCACGGCCCTGGCTTCCACAGAGCCTTGCAAAGCAGCTGGGCTGCACCCTGAGCCTTGACCATGGTTCTGACCATCTCCGTGGCCCAGAGCCATGCCCATGCCTTCCCTGGGAGCTCCTATTTACCCTGAATGGACACCGAAATCTCCTGTGTCTAGGAAAAGAGTCCCCGGGTCATGATGCCAGCCCAACTGGCCTCAACATGTACCCTCAGACCTTTCATTAGAACCTCTGGGGACTCCCCTGGTGTTTCCTGACTGTGACAATCTGGCCTCACCGGTAAGGACTGGACACTCACAGATCCCAACCCTGTGAGATAACAGGCAGATAACAGTGCTCGGCCTCATTGGTGCTGCCACCCCACCCTCACCAGCTTATGTGTACTGGTGAGGGAAAGCCCAGGGGGCTCCGAGGGACACTGGCCTCCCCACGCCAGTGTCCGAGTATACTCGCCCCCAATAACCTCAGAGACACACTGAGGCTGGATATGAATGTGTGGCCCTAGGAAGACAGAGTGAATGAACCGAGCCACGGGACCTAGCACGCAATCTCAGTTCAGCTCTAGAAGGACAGGCTGGTGACGGCGTGGGAACAAAAAGGCCTCAATCTGTGAAAGGGGAAATTCCCAAAGCCTAGAAGGGAATGGGTTGGAGGCAGGAATCTCAGATGGCAGCCCTGGGTGGGAGGGGAGACAGTGGTGGCTGCTGAGAGGTAAAGGGCCCCTTCCCTGCTGGAAATACCACGAGGCCACGGAAAAGAGGACACGGCGTGGGAGGGGGCAGGAGGGGGCGGGGAGACTGCGACTAGTCCCAGAGTCCCCCAGCTGATAACTGCTGACCGCACCCACTGGGGGGCTTGGACATGCCCCATCACGCTACAGAACTGTCCCGAGGTCCTGGGAGAGCATTGATACGAATGTGGCAGGTACTATTAATTAATCACCTAAGCCTGCCCCATTAATGCCCTTTAAATCCAGCTGGGAAAAGCTCCCAGACTTCCTCTGACAAATTCAGACCCCCCTGCTCCAAGGCGCCGGGACGCTTCTCTCCCACTGCCAACGCCCTCCAGTTAATTAGACTGACACCCACTCTGGCCTGCAGGCCTCTGGAGGAGGTCTCTGCAGCGCTGGCCTGGGGCACAGGAGACACACAGTGATGGCCTGAGCCATGTGTGACCCACAGAACTCTGAGGCCGGCTAACTGCAAACCAGAAACACTGCGGTTACAAGTTCGGTGCTATAATCTGTGCGATCTTTATAACTGCAACCGAGGGAAAAGCTGCCTGGCCGCGAACTCCACGGAGGAGCCGGAGCCTCTGGGCCTTCTGACCGGCGGCCACCAGGGGGCGCGCGCGCGAGGCCCGTGGTACCTTTAGTGATCTCCCGGTGGTCGCTGAGGCCCCCGCAGAGGGAGATGGCGATGGAAGGGAGGTCCCTCAGCCCGTCCGAGGTGCTCTCCATGCCACTGTCCATGCCCGAGCTGCCCACAGACTGTGGGGACTGGTTGGCTGATCGGGCTCCGTTGTCGCTGGCATGTTTTGCGAGGCCGGAAGGGTCTCCGCTGGAAGGAGGAAAAGCAGCAGAGACCAGCTGAGCAGTGTCCCAGGCCAGGGTCCCACCTCGCCATCCAGCCATGCTCTGGCACGCAGCCACCCTCAGAGCCGCAGACGGCCGCATCTCAGCACAGATGTTTATTAAAGCACCGGGACAGGGAAAGAGACGTTAAATGCCTTAGCTCAAGAGAGAAAGCCATTCTTTTGCAGCTGGCTGCATCTCCCTATGATCCCCTAAGATACACTGAAGCAACATCAAGCTGTCCTCCCTGTTCCCTGCCCTCCCCTCCAGGTGCCAGCCCTGCCCCAGATCGTGGGTGGTGGGGCAGGGGGGGCTGAGGGTGGGTCCCCAGCATCACGGGAGACCCTCCTGGGGGGAAAAAGGGCTGCCTAGCTGCCCCTTATTGTGCTTCGGGCCACTGCACCGTGGACAGCATGACCTTAGGCTCCGCAGGGAGGGCAGCCTGGTGCCTGCGCCCATCCAGAGGTGGGGATGCCGCCCTGTGCCCACACCCTATGTCCAGAGAGAGAGCAGGCAAGTTTCACAAGGAAATGAGAGGCTCCCCACTGTCTCTCCCTCACACACTTTTTTTTTTTTTTTTTTGAGACGGAGTCTCACTTGGTTGTCCAGGCTGAAGTGCAGTGGCGCAATCTCAGCTCATGGCAACCTCTGCCTCCCGGGTTCAAGCAATCCTCCTGCCTCGGCCTCTGCAGTAGCTGGGACTACAGGTGCACACCACCACACCCAGCTACTTTTTGTATTTTCAGTAGAGACGGTGTTTCACCATATTGGCCGGGCTGGTCTCAAACTCCTGACCTCAAGTGATCTGCCTGCCTCAGCCTCCCAAAGTGCTGGGATTAGTGGAGTGAGCCACCACACCAGGCTGTCTTGCATACTTTCTAAACAAACGTAAGGGAAAACTGGGCTCACACAGAATGATATTCAGGTTATAGAAATGATGTGAGAAATGAAAAGGAATGTTACTTTTTGGGAAAATACAGGGCCGCCACTTCAGGGTCCATGTCTGTGAGGTCATCCAGGTAGACGCCGTCAGCACCAAGATGTCGGCTTCGTTTATCTAAAAGGGCAAATGGCTCAAGTCAGAAACCACCCTTCTAGAAATGACCTCATGGACTCGTATCTACAGAAACAGCATTTAAACACTGTGTGCAGATTTGCCCCCAGGTCCCCAGACTGGCCCAAGAACCACAATGGTTACTGGCGGGCAGTACATTACCGTAGACCACCAAGGCCCACGAACCGTGTGGCCCGGATCAAGTTAGTGCACTTTGCTGAGCCTCAGTCCTTCTCTATAAAGTGCTTGAAGTGTACTGAGCCCTCAATGCCCTGAGACTATTACCACTATTATTACACTTATTATGAAACGATAAATGCTTTCATGAGGAACTTCCCCATCAGTACCCCAAGGCAAAGCATCCCACATGGTGCACTGACAGACACTGGGCATGAAGACTTCAAATGTCCTCTTTACTTCCGGCACAGAATAATGTAACTGGTCCATACAATTCTAGAAAACCACACAGAGTTGCTGAGTGGATGGAGAGAGCAGGCCTGGCATCATTGACACAGACACACAGTCAGGAGCGCATTAAACCAACACAGAGCACCTACTGTGTGCCAACCACTACACTAAGCACTGCAGAGAGAAAGAGAAGTTTCATAGAAAAGACTCTTGATCTCAGATAATGCATAGTCTATGGGGGAGTCAGGCAAAAATCAATCAATAAAATAACAATCATTTGAAATTGTGATAAATGGTATACAGAAATTAGTGGGTGAGGGGCTGGGAAGCAACACAGGGCAAGAAGAGAGGCAGTCAGGATTAATCTAATCATCAGCTTGATAAAAGTCACACTTGACTGGGTGCGGCAGCTCACACCTGTAATCCCAGCATTTTGGGAGGCCAAGGTGGGCGGATCACGAGGTCAAGAGATCGAGACCATCCTGGTCAACATGGTGAAACCCTGTCTCTCCTAAAAATACAAAAATTAGCTGGACATGATGGTGTGTGCCTGTAATCCCAGCTAGTTGGGCATCCCAGCTACTTGGGCAGCTAAGGCAGGAGAATCGCTTGAATCAGGGAGTCAGAGGTTGCAGTGAGCCAAGATGGCACCACTGCCCTCCAGCCGGGCAACAGAGTGAAACTCTGTCTCAAAAAAAAAAAAAAAAAAGGTCCCACTTTTGGGTCCTATGGCGTGCTGAAAAGGACTTGACTCTCCCAGGTCTCAGCAGCCCCAGTGAGTAAAATGAGGAAGCTACATGATCCGCAAGGCCTCCTCCATGTGTGATTTCCTGTGACCAAATTCTGATCATGAATATATTCCGCCACAGAGCACAGACTGAACATGGTAGTTGTCATAGTTCAATTTCCTTGGAACTTTGGAAAGGACCTGTCCTTTGTAGAGTAGCGCAAAGTATGAACAGACAGAGGGTCAGGAAGCCCCAGTCTTCGTACCTTTTTTCCTAGGAGAGTCCGTCTTGTTTGCCATCTGGACTACACCGGCAGAAGGGGGTTTGAGCTCCTCGATCATGGGCAAGAGCGGCGCTGCTGCTCCCAGCGTCTCCAGGTCTTCTTCATTCACAAAGTGCATTTCTGTCTGAGACTTGTTCTGATCCAAAAGTGTCCCCTCGGCCAGAGTTGGTGATTGGTCACTAAAAGTATCTGAAGATTCACTGTGGATGGCCTGAAAGTGGCTTTTATCACAAATTTTTCTACTGACCAATGGGCTGGACTCTTTCATCTTGTGCAGAGAACACTAGAACAAAGAAGAGAGAGGGACAGAGAGAGAGGGAGGGGGTCAGCACCGAGGCAAACACAAAAACCGAGTGACCCAAGGAGAACGGCAAGTAATCAGAAGCAGGCAGGGACTTTTAAGCCTCAGCAATCACCTGCTGATTTCTACACCTGCCAGAAAGTCCAGAAACCAAGAAGATTATTTCCAAAGCAAATGCAATTCCCTATAAAACATCCACTGCCAAAGAGAAGTCAGATGGGTAATCCCAAAAGGCAGGAGCAACCTAAATGCCCAGTGTTCGATTACAAGTCTACCACACAAATGCTGGGATTCTCCGTGGCCATGAGAATAAATGAATTATGGCTACACCAACATGAGTGCATCTTGCAAAACTAATCTCTGCTGTGAGAGTCCAGATCATGTTTACCCTTGCAGGGAGCAGAGGGGTCAGTCTGAGCAGTCACCGCAACGGGTGGGGGTTTCCACACTGCCGGTCATGCTCGGCTTCTCAGTCTGGGTGCAAGTTGCACAGATCTGTTCCCGCTGCGAAACTGTGCTGAGCTATGCATTTACCATCTGTGTATTTATCTGTATGAATATTTCAATGAAGTGTATTCCCAAAACATGAGTGAATAAGATTTGGTGGTAGTTGGTTCACATGAGTGAGAAATGAGCATTTCCGATTCTATCACCAGAGGGATCTCCAGTTGCGCAAAATATTTATTCAAACAAAAACCAAAATGCAATTGATGGGCCAAAAAGAGGGGAGAAAGTATTCACTTCTCTATCTGATCAAACAACTTCTCTTGCAAATGAAAACAATGCTACAGAAAATCTGTGGTTGGAACTATATTGCCAGAAGAAGTGATGGATTTGCACTTCTGTGCTATTTCTCCAGCAACTAATGATATAAACTTACAAAGAGAGCTAGCTGGGTCAGCACCACAGCTGTGGACAGGGGAATCAGCATTTTTCTGTGAAAGATAAACATAACCTGGAAAGGAAATGGATCCACAACCTTGGCTTCAACAGACCACTCTCCAAAAAGCTGCCCATCTTGACTCTTTATAAGGAATGTTTTCAATAGTCATTCACTCATTCATTCATTCATATTACAAGCACTTATTAGGGATGCAAGAGGCTATAACATCTAACAATATTTTTTAAAGCTTGCAACATGATAATTCAAGATGCTTGTAATACATTAGCATACCAAATGAAATTTATTCAAAAAAGACTATGTTCATTTCATGTTTTTAGAAATCTATTTGTTGAACCAACTATGTACCTACATGTAAACCCACTGCATGTCCAAGATAGGGAAACTGAGTCCGTGTGTATGTGGCACAGACAAGGAGAAAGAACGCAAATATTTAGAGGGCCTACAGGTGCCAGATACTTCACATACCTACGTGGGCCCTTCTAACCTCCCAACAATTCTGTCATTTTCTCACATTTTTACAGATGAAAACACTGAGGTTCAGGGAAGTCTTACTTGCCCAAGGTCACCTTGCTAGCAATTGGTGGAGCGGGGACTCAAACACAGGACAACCTGCTGCCTCCCAGGCCCTCATTCTCTCCACTACACTCAACTGCTTCTCTGTTTCTTTTGGAAACCCCTATAGGGTCAAATTCAGGGCCCTGCCAATAATGAGGGCCCAGAAATATCACTTGATGAATCAAAACCTTACGTTTTTCTGACTTCGTTTATCTATTAGGCTCAAATCTTTCATTTCTGTTCTATTAGCCTCTCCCTCTCCCAGGGCTCTCCCAGACGTCTCTCTGTGAGGGATAAAGAACATACGGACTCCAGCTCTCACCACCCATCCTCTCTTTCAATGGACCAAGAGTCCACTTCTCTCTCCTGGTGGCTTTGCTCCAGTCATCACTGACCCAGCAGAATCAAGAGCTGGGGACTGTTTTGTTTACAGCATCGAGACAGCAAGATTGTGTGTAAGTTGTATTTTTGTAATTTAATTTGCATTTAGCTGTGATAGAAAATGTAGATCCTGGCTGGGCACAGTGGCTCATGTCTATAATCCCAGCATTTTGGGAGATTGAGGAGGGCATGTCACTTGAGGTCAGGAGTTTGAGACCAGCCTGGCCAACATGGTGAAACCCCATCTCAACTAAAAATATAAAAAATTAGTCGGGCATAGTGGCATGTACCTGTAGTCTCAGCTACTCCAGAGGCTGAGGCAGGAGAATTGCTTGAACCTAGGAGACTGGTTGCAGTGAGCCAAGAAAGCACCATTGCCCTCCAGCCTGGGTGACAGAGTGAGACTCTATCTCAAAAAAAAAAAAAATCCTAAAAGGAATTCCATAGGTTTAAAATCTACAAAAGCAATGAGACCTCTCTATCATGTTGGTAACATGGAAGAGAGTAATTCCAACATTCAAGGCTAACCCTTAATACATTTTTGTTCACCTCTGGCTCCTTGTGGCTATGTTTCTTGGTTATGCTATGACTAATTCCATGTAATTTGAGCTAAGTTAGAAATCTTCGACCGTGGCAGAATTGAAGACAGTCTCACCTTAGCAGCCTGCGGCAGCTCTCCCCACAACCAGAGCATTTCTGGGTTATTCTTCTGCCCTGTCCTGTCCGTGGACTTGCTGACCAATTCTGAATCGCTTTTAGGTGTTGAAGGTCGGGAACCGGAAGGACTTAGGAAAACACAAAGTCAAAATTAAGGTGGGAAAAGAAACTTTTGTAAATTCTGTGTGCCCAGTTCTGTGGCTCAGATGGCCCAGAAAATACACCCCAGCTGTGGTTCACTCTAAATAGAGCCTCATGACAAATCCCTCCTCCGGCCACCAGGGGGCAGTGCAGCGCGTCCCGTGGAAGGGGCTCCACGTGGGTCTCCCGCCCCACCCTGCCGCCTGGTGCACCGCGAAGGAGAGGAGAAAAAGAAGTGGCCGAAGACGACGTTTTACAAAAGAAAGAGATGGAAAGAGAAAGGAAAAAGTCGTCTGTTCTTACCTCAAAAAGACAACCCTTCCCCACCCACCCTGCACTCGCATCTCCTGCACTCTCTTTCCAAATCAGTTCCTCTACTGTCAGCTGCAAAAGGGTCTCAGTTGGCTCAGGCAGGCCTGCATTCGATTCTATAGTTTAAATATTTATAATATGCACTGGCCTTGGAAACAGGGAAATTATATCCTGTGCCAATTTTACCAAAGATGCTGGCTGCCACAAATAAACTCGATATCATGGCAGGAGCCTCCCAGGTGAAATTTCCTAAGATCTTATGTCTTCCAGGAATATTTCACAAAAAAAACAACCTACTGGCTAAGGCTCGCTCAGTACCCACTTCCACGCTTCCTGTATTTGTACTCTGAAGACCTAAATGAGATCTTACTTCTGCCCAGCCAAATCACCATCCAACAAAAGTCATTAACTTATCCACAAGATCCTCACCATATTCTAAACAACTTAGAGAAATATCATTTACTGCCGTAAATAATATTAATTACGTCAATTCTTGTAATTATTTATTACCGCATAACATGGTTAATTACTGCTTGTTTTCCCCGCATCATTTCCTCTAGAGGAAGACCGCAGAGTTTTCAGACACAGCAGGAAATAAACCTAGGCAGTTTCCCTTTCCATCTTCTTTCCCAGACCTGGTCTCACTTAACTGTCTAAGAGTTCAACTCCAATTGAATACAACTTTCCTGTCAACGCAAGGTGAGTTCATGATGATACGTAACTTGTATCCAACAAACAGGGACCCCTACGGGCTAAACTGATCCTGAATCTCTTTGGTCACGCCACCTAGAGCAGACAGACCAAGGGCCGCCTCTCCTTTGTGTCACACCAAGGTGCAAAGGGTGGTCTCTGCTCCCTTGGAGCCCCTGACTCCCAGCCCATCTAACAGTGTGCCACCAAAGGGCAGCCTGCACACTCTCTTTCACCTGCCTGGGGAGAGGAGGCTGATCCCATACTAAAGAGAGCTTCTGCAGTGGGACACCCTGCTCCCAACACACACACATTTCTGCCTGTTAGGGAGCAGTCCCATGAGAAGACACGTTGGCCCCCTCACATCCGTGTGGAGATGCTTCCTGCCCTTTCAACCTCCTTACTCCTCCAGTTCTACAATTAGACTTCTCCAAAGAGACAACGCTTTTCTGGCACTGATGCGAGTAGAGTCACATGTTTGGTATCACTGCAATGGGAAAAGCACAGGCTGTGGCCTCCATCGAGGGGCCTCAGTACCTACAAGTGTAACCTGAATCCACTCTTTCTCCAGCAGCATCATGGAAGAAGTCCATTAAAACCGGCTTCCCACACTCAGTGGTGCTGTGCCCAGACCTCAAAGTATTTGTCTAAAAAGCTCCTGCCATTCCGTTTTACCAGACAAAATAGAACATATTAGGCTATAGGTTCTTTGGAGCAATAAATCACCTCACTGCCACTAAATGAAATAAAGTCCTTTAGACAAAGCTTGCTCTGAGCAGGAGTCAGCAAACATTTTCTGTAAAGAGCCCAGTGGCCGATATCTAGGGCTTTATGGGTTTAATGACGTCTGTCGCAACTACTTGACACTGCTGTCGTGGTGTGAAAGCAGCCAGTATGTAAACCAACTGGCTATGTCCAGGAAAACCCGACAGAGGAGATGGTGGACCAGACTTGACCCAGGGGCCTGTTTTACCAACCTCTGCTCTAGAACGCAAATGTGGAACACAGTTCTCCTGCAGCAATTCCCAACTCCACAGTTCCTACCATTCTGGTCCCTTCATAAAAGCCACAAGCCACAAAACCCATACGGGCACCACGCACGTCAACTTATATATAAGGAGCCTAGTCCTACATGAAAGTCTAAGCTGAAAGTCCCTTCCCGACAGCAAACAGGTCGGCACCATAAGCACTGCGGGCTCAGGCCACAGCAGCCCTTCTCCAAAGGTCCCACTCACAAGTACAGATGCAGTTTCTGCCGACATCACTGAGGGAATTCAGACAGACAGAAGAGGACCCAGGAATGGGGCCCACTGCCGAGCGGGATTTATCAGAGAGATGACTCCCACGTGTTCTGTCATCAAATCTTATTATTTTAAGATCAAGCGTTGTTCAAAAAAATGAAGCTTACAAGGTCGATGACTGATGTTCACAAATAAGGTGTTAATTACCTTATCAAAGTTTTCAGTATTTTGGCCAGTCCCAATAAGGCTAATTAGTTATAACTGTTTATGACTTTGTTTTCCTCATTTTAATCAGACTTTTTTTCTGCAAATGTAGCCTCTGAATGAAGTACATCCTGAGGTTTGGTTCTTAAATCAAAAAGAAAAAAGGTTTTCCACGTACAAATTAATCTTAGCTTCATTTGCTAAGGTTGATAGAGTAAACCCTGGAAGTCTACAAAGTAGGAAGGTCAAAACAGAGGGAACAAAGCAGAAATCTGAGACGACAGCGCTGAATAAAAACCTCAATCTTTGATCCTAAACCTGAGATCCAGCCCACGCCATTCTCAGAGATTCTGTTCTAGAAATGCTGTAGAAACCGTCTGCCTCCATTATTCAGATGGCCCAATAAACTACTTAAATATTTATAATTAATTAAAGTGGTATCCCAAAAATACTTAGAAACTTATTTGTCAAACAACCCTAGACAGAAAGCAGAAGATCGTATTCCCAAGCTGTATTTCATTGTTCTATTTTTGAAAGCACTCCAGAGAGTTAGGTAAAATTATATGCTGAACCCTAATTTCCAGAGAGTCAAATTTAGAAATTAAAAAAAACATTCTGATCATCTACAAATGCTTATAATGAAAGGAAAAGAGTAATCTATACACATAGTTTTTCATAAGTAATTTGGTTAGTGAAATCGATTCATAAGAGTTAGATCAAAATGTTCGCTTCATATCACCTACAGGTATTTTCTTCATAAGTAATTTGGTTAAAGGTAAAGTAGACTTATAATAAAAGTTAGATCAAATTTTTCATTATTGAATATACCCCAATGGGGAAAATCACTCCTCTACCTTTCCGCAGGATGGAACAGGGAAGACTCTGGAGGGCAAGAACTAGACAGACCGCCCTCGGCCGCAACTGCTGGATGAGGGGCAGTCCTTTTGCAATCTATCAGGCTACTGGACACCACCACATGATGCACATTAAAAGAAAGACAAAATTAGAGGTCAATTACATCAAGTAAGATTTTTATACAAGTAAGATTTTTATATTTGACTACTCTCAACAATGACACTTGTAAGAAAATGAAGCTACTCAGGCATCTGACAACGGCAGAGCCCTGGATGTTGAAATTGCCAAGAAATTGGTGGGAATTTTCTGAGATGCAAAAACAGGAAACTGTAAAATGATCTATTTCACTTCCTGTTTCACCCACATGTAAGACGGATTGTCTCTGGTCACACTTTCATGCTTAATCAAACGACATAATCCAAAAATTCGATCCTGTGTGCTGTCAATTGTCTCTTCACAGAAAATACATAATTCCAAGTGCGGAAGTGTAGCTATTTATCCTAATTTGTCATTCCATTTGGTGCTGGTCAGAGCTACATAACCTGACTCCGTCATTATTCTGTAATAACGAAGCCAAACATTAAGATGTTCTGAACATTAGACATGCTCCGAGCTGTTTAGTGTTTCTTTTAAATCCTTAAAATTCACGTACAGTCCTTGAACAGAGTTTTTAATCCATTATTGGCTTCTAAATATCCTACATTATTTTCCTCCTAAACCACTGTTTTTCTCTCCTAGGGTTTATCTCCACAGACTTAGAGAAAGAATGAGAACCTAGAAAGGTGTTACATCTGCACTGTGCAATATAATAAGCCACCAGCTACAGGTGGCTCCGCACCTGCAACATGGCTGCTCCAAACTGGGATGTTCTGCACATGTGGCATACAGAATGGATTTTAAAGACGTGGTATGAAAACAGAAACGTGAAGTATCTCACTCATAATTCTTTAAAACTGATTGCTTGTTGAAATGATATTTTGAATATACTGTAGTCAAATGAAATACAGCTTTAAAAATAATTTCATCTTTTTTTTTTCACCTTTTAAAAATAGGGTAGCTGGGTGCAGTGGCTCACGCCTATAATCCCAGCACTTTGGGAGGCCAAGGCGGGCGGATCATGAGGTCAGGAGTTCAAGACCAGCCTGACCAATATGGTGAAACCCCATCTCTTCTAAAATACAAAAATTAGCCAGGTGTGGTGGTGTGCACCTATAATCCCAGCTACTCAGGAAGCTGAGGCAAGATAATCGCCTGAACCCAAGAGGCAGAGGTTGCAGTGAGCTGAGATTGCGCCACTGCACTCCAGCCTGGGAGACAGAGTGAGACTCCATCTCAACAACAAAAAAAATAAGGCTACTGGAAATCTTAAAATTACATATGGAGCTGATTATTCCATTTCTACTGGACAGGCCTAGGCTCTGAGGCAGGACCTCCATGTAGGGACTTTGTCAGGGGCTCAGCCTGGCCTGCTGGACTAACGTAAGACATCATTATTAGCTAGAAACCAGGCATGAGACATACCTATTTTCTCTGCAGCCTCCATGTCAGCAAACACTGGTGACTGCTGCTGGCTAATTCACAAGGTTACCCTGATCAAACTGGAACCAGGGGTGGCATTTTGATGAGACTGGCTTTAGGTAGGAACCCAGAGTTTCTGAGGGCTCACACACTTTCACTGCGAACCAGAAGCCGATCTAAAGCATGAGGTGTATGAACAATCCAAGGATACCACTGGCATTTAGATCAGTGTTTCTCAATCTCTTTTTCATTATCACACCCCCGAGCATTTTGAGAGATTAATAGCCCAAGTCCACCTACTGCGAGATTTTCATGCTGTGGCCGCTTAGAGATCACAAACCATTAGAACATCTAAGATTCTGTTGCCACCCAAGAATGAATTTTCATGCCAGTGGTGGGTTATATTCTTTCCTGTGTTGAGAACACAGGGTTTAGATCTACCCTCCTTCCCCAGGCCTTAGAAAACTACAGGGGACTCACTATTCCCACAGGTTTCACTGATCTAAGCATCTCTGGGGTCTTCAGGATGGCATCTCCATGCTGAGCAGCTCTAGCTCTCCAAGTTCTCCTAGTTCTCCTCTAGGGCAATCTGTGAGTTCATTTCAGGGAAGTGAATATCCTTGAACTCCGCAGAATGCATTAAGTGTGGCCGGAGGCATCGTGCTAATAGCCCTGAAGGGCTTCAGCAGTTCCTGAAGCAATGTCTGTTTTTGAATCTTACTTAGGGCTAAGTACCAAGAAAGGCTCTGCCACTGTGTTTTCTCCCATTACCAATTATCATTGTGTAATTTACATGTTTTCCCTTTCACGTTCGCCTCCAGGGAGCTAAGAGCCATATCTGCAGATAGATTCTGACACCAGATGCAAGTGTATGATCTGAGCACGTCCTGTTTTTAATCCTCATCTCTACCTCCTGCTCTACACTGAGTTTTTCCTGGTCCTATTTTCATTCTCAATTTCTATTTCATGCTTTTCTTAGAATTGCTTCCTATCACTGGCTTCTAAGCCTCTGGACTGGGCCCGGGGAACAGCTTACCTGGGAGTGGGTGACCACTCTCTATCTGAATTAGGGTATGAGGCTGACTGAGGGTAAGTCACAGCCGGGGAGAGGTTTTCCTTGGGAATATCATCTTGGAATGGAGGTATATCATTAGGAAGAGCTCTGGAAGAAAACAAAAGATTACAGTCCAGGAATTATTAATGGTAGATTCATAATCAAGTTCCAATTTTTTCTTGATTAGCTCTAAGTGCTTTGCAATTAACATGATCTCTTTAAATACCCAGACCTGATCCAGGCAGTGGAGGGGGAAGAAGTGAGGTAACTGCATCCATAAATGTGTCTATGTGCTAACGCTTTGGCGGAATTACAAATGTAAAATGATTTGTTTCAGCATTCGGACTCAGACATGCACACAGTCATCACGCTGCTGGCTCCTCCCATCGCGGCACCTCCTGCTGCCCTGCACGATCACGTTCCAAAAGGCTGGGAGGTAGAGCAGCTAAATGGAAACTCCATTTGACCCAGCAATCCCATTACTGGGTATGTACCCAAAGAACTATAAATTATTCTACTATAAAGACACATGCACACGTATGTTTATTGCAGCCCTGTGTACAATAGCAAAGACCTGGAACCAACCGAAATGCCTATCGATAGACTGGACAAACAAAATGTGGCACATATACACCATGGAATACTACACAGCCATAAAAAATGATGAGTTCATGTCCTTTGTAGGGACTTGGATGAATCTGGAAACCATCATTCTCAGCAAACTGACACAAGAACAGATAACCAAACACTGCATGTTCTCACTTATAGGCAGGTGTTGAAGAATGAGAACACGTGGACTCAGGGAGAGGAGCATCACACACTGCAGTCAGTTGGGGGGGGGTTGGGGGAGGGAGGGGGGTGGGGAGGAATAATGTGGGGAGAAACACCAGATATAGATGAAGGGGGAATGGAGGCAGCAAACCACCTTGTTATGTGTGTACCTATGCAGCAACCCTGCATGATCTGCAATGTACCCCAGAACCTAATGTACAATTAAAAAAAGAAAGAAATGGCATCAACCAAACATGCCTCATGGTTTCGGAATAACTACAGACAACTTTGTTTCAAGTATAAGCACATTCACTACTAAATACGATCCACAATTTCCTTTTTTTTTTTTTGAGATGGAGTTTCACTCCTGTGGCCCAGGCTGGAGTGCAGTAGCACGATCTTGGCTCACTGCAATCCTGGTCTCCCAGGTTCAACCAATTCTCTGCCTCAGCCTCCCGAGTAGCTGGGATTACAGGGGCCCACCACCATACCCGGATAATTTTTGTATTTTTAGTAGAGATGGGGTTTCACCGTCTTGGCCAGGTTGGTCTTGAACTTCTGACCTTGTGATCTACCTGCCCCAGCCTCCCAAAGTGCTGGGATTACAGGTTTGAGCCACCGTGCCTGGCTGCTTACAGTCACAATTTCAGCCACGCAGAGGCCATCTGTCTGCATGTTGACATTACCTGGAACACCTATCACTACATTTTAGATTTAAAAGCCATGCAGGGAAGGCAATTATAAGAAGCCCAATAACCCTGGTTTCTGAGTCATAGGTTAGAGACTATAGTCTGGAAAAGCAATATTCGTTGCCAGTTGACATTTATTTTTCACCAAGAAAAAAAATACGTTTTACTCCAAATAATGACACAGGACGATACTGCTGATGTTTCTTATCCCCTCTTCATGTCACCAAAATATAAAAACAATGATCAAAAATTACACTGAATTACATACAAATCTGAAACATCAAACATCCTTTCAAAATGAATTTATCTTTTAAAACTGGCATTTTTCACAAACATAGTAATACACACAAACAGAATTTGACTACGCTGTTAAAAGCAAAGAAAAAGAAAACAAAATTTCCATCAAACTTCACACCGACCTCAAAATTAAAAAGGAAAAAGATTGCTTACAGATAAAACAGCATTTTCTTCACTCACTTTTGAGCCTGAGATCAGCCCTTGCCTATACATCAGCCCAACTGTACATAGTTGGTGCTCCAATAAGAATAAATAGGTTCCGAGAAAATGGGCTTGGTCATGAACTATTCACTTGCTGAGTTCCTTTTCCTGACTCCGTCCCAGGCTGCTGAAGTGATCAGCCAAGGAGGTTTGGCATCACAAACTATCTCTTGGCCACAGCACAGCAAATCTTTATGCCACTCTAAGATTGGGTCCACGTGTTTCCAAAATTCAGTCTAAAATAGGGGTCCCCAACCCCTGGGGCCCTTGCCCCTGTAAGAACCTGGACCGCATAGCAGGAGGTGAGCTGCAGGCAAGCTGGCAAAGCTTCACCTGTGTTTAGTCACTCCGGATCCCTCACATTACCGCCTAAGCTCCTCCTCCTGCCAGGTCAGCGGCAGCGCTAGATTCTCCTAGGGGCGCGAACACTGTTGCTAACAGTGCGTGCAAGGGCTCTAGGTTGCACACGAATTATGGGAATCTAAGGCCTGATGATCTGCCACTGTCTCCCATCACCCTCAGATGCAACCGTCTACTTGCAGGAAAACAAGCTCAGGGCTCCCACAGATTCTACATGACGGTGAGTTGTGTAGTCATTTCATTTTATATATGTTGATATAATAGTAATGGAAATAAAGCACTCTATAAATGTGATGCACTTGAATCATCCTAAAACCATCCACCCCCAGTCCATGGAAACATTATCTTCCATAAAACTGGTCCCTAGTGCCAAAAAGGTTGGGGACCACTGGTCTAAAACACATAAAAGAATAAGGAATTCTGGGGGGAAAAGTTTATAAAAACCATCTTGAACAGTTAACCATCTGATTCTGGTGCAGCCCCTCCACCCCGGACAGCTGTCACCTGCTGCTGTCTGGCAGCTCCATGGCCTCGTCCGAGCTCATCTCAATGGGGAACATGTCCTCGTCCTCAGACGTGTTCATGTTGTCATCTCTCTTTAGGCTGTCCAGCTGCGACTTTCTCCTCCTTTTCCTTCTCTTCTTTACTACTGAGCCGCTTGACAGTGTCTCACTGGGAGCCATCACCTGGGCTGGCGTGCTGGGGTCCAGGCCTCTCATCCTGTCCACAGTGCTCCTTTTCAGCTGGCATTCCATTCTCGAAGCTCCTTCTGACAGGATGGGGGAGGTGGCCAGGTGCATGGGGATGACTTCCTAAGGAAAGAACACATTTTCCAAAAAGAGCCTCGTTAATTCGAGTGTAAGGAACAGGGCCTTGCCAGAGACCTCCAGGTTAATTTCAGAGGCCAAGCACCTCCTGAGGAGGGCCACAGCCACGGTGACCTGGAGATATGGAGGCAGCAGGTGACCCGGCTAGACACCACAGCCACAGTGACCTGGAGATATGGAGGGCCGAAGCAGATAACCCGGCTAGACACCACAGCCACGGTGACCTGGAGATATGGAGGGCCGCAGCAGGTGACCCAGCTAGACACCACAGCCACGGTGACCTGGAGATATGGAGGGCCGCAGCAGGTGGCCCGGCTAGACACCACAGCCACGGTGACCTGGAGATATGGAGGGCTGCAGCAGGTGGCCCGGCTAGACACCACAGCCACGGTGACCTGGAGATATGGAGGGCCGCAGCAGGTAACCCGGCTAGACACCACAGCCACGGTGACCTGGAGATGTGGCCGCCCAATCTGGTAGAAGATCGGAAAGCCAACAACATACTGAATGCCACTCTGCACTCAATTCTGCATTTATATAATTTTAACAATGGGAAGTCATTCTCAGTGATTTCAAGCCCCCAAAATTCAACTTTGGCTGAAATACCCAGAGCACAGAGGATAAAAAAAATGGGCTTTAAGTCACCATATCATGCTGGGAATTGGATGCACTCTCGCCCTTCTGTGTAGGTGCGGGCATGCATGTGTGGGTGGGTATGAGACAGAGAAAGAGAGAGAATGTGTACTGTGTGTTTCTTCTATGCACTGCAATAAGAATAATCATCTAAAAACCAAAAATACATAAAACAACTGACAGCCTCGCCCAAGAGCCTGCACCAGGGCCCAGGCAGGTACACGGACGTCAAGGAAGTAGATACAGACCCTCTCCTTAAAAGGGAAAAACACAACCTGTCAATTTAGTAGTTGTTTGTAATGAGTCAGCACTTTTTATATAATTCTAGTAATCGTTTTATTAATGAATGACTCATTTTGTATGAGAGACTTGTTACCAATAAGAATATCCATAAAACAGAGGGGATAAATAAAAATGTGCTGCTAATCATTCAGGTAGGTTTGGAGAGCATCAGACATGCTGAAATATAACGTCCACACCTGAGACACGCAGCTGAGGCTGGACGGGAGTGAGAGGTCATCTCACCTGCTGCTGGACTGGACCAACTACAGAAGCAGCACAGATTCTCAAGAACAGAGAAGGGCCCTTGCTGTCCACAGTCTGGAAGGGAATGGGCGGCCAGGCAGACCCGTGTAGGCACATGCAGCACCAAGCAGTGCTGACGGCCAAGGAATCCCCAGCTTCCAGCGGCCTCCGGGGGTCCTAAGAGGCATCTGTATGGAGCTGAACATACTCTGGCCTTCAAGGCCCCACCCCACCCACAGGTACCCCATCAGACCAGCAAGATCAGCAAGCAGGCCCCATACAGGTCCCACCGAATGCTGGCCCAAAATGCTTCCTTAGCTCCAACAGCCGAAAATCTGTCTAAAGCCAGGTACAAATGGAAATTAAAACTACAGGTGTCCACATGCAGTGGAAAGAGTTTCTGTCAAAGACCATTAGGAAGCAGTTAGCATTTTCGGAGTCTTCTCATCTAAGAGAGGTGAGGAGCAGGTGGGCAGGGATCCCCAGTGGCCCCAGGGTTGTTCTAGATCATGGAAGGGAAGATGCTGGATCCTCCCCAAGTGCCACCCTTCTGGGCGGGCAGGATGGAGGCAGTGTCTGGGTTGTTCTGTCCCAAAGCTGCAATTATGGACACTTTAGCTCTCAAGAGCCGTTCCATTTTAATCACAGCTGTCTTCCCGGAAAGGAACTAGTTTAAGTCAATTTCATTCAGGATTCCCTACATCAGATCCCTTTAAGCTGCTTCATCAGCCGTGAACAAAAGAGTTAAAGAAGTGGTTTGTCTTAGTAGAAAACGTAACCATAAATCATGACCTTGGATTTGGCAAAGGACTTTGTTACATGTATATGACACCAAAAGCATGAGCAACAAAAGAAAAAACAGAATGCATTAAAAAGGCAGACACGAACTTTAAAAACAAAAAAAATTAGGCTTCATTAAAACTAAAAACTTTTGTGCTGCAAAGGACACCATCAAGAAAGTGAAAAGAGAACCTGCCCAATGGGGGAAAATATTTACAAATCATATACCTGGTAAGGGATTTGTACCTAGAATATATAATGAAGGCACACAAGGCAGTAGCAAATAAGACAAGCAACTCCCCAGAAAACCAGCAAAGGATCTGAATAGACATTTCTCCAAAGAAGATACAGAAATGGCCAGTAAGCACATAAAGAGAGGCCCAACATCACTAGTTATTAGGAAAATGCAAATCATAAGCATAAAAAGATACCACTTCACACCTGCTAGAATGACTAGGATCACAAAATCAGAAAAGAACTGGCAAAGATGCGGACAAATCAGAACTCTTTGAGCAGTGCTGGTGGGAACACAAAAAGTACGGCTGCTTTGTAAAACAGCCCGGCAGTTCCTCCAATGTTAAATGTAAGGTTACTGCATGACCCAGCCATGCCATTCCTAGGTATGTAACCAAGAAAAATCAAATGTATGTGTCCACACAAAAGCTTGAACACAAATGTTCACAGCCGCAGTATTTACAACAGCTAAAAGGTGGAAACCACCCAAGTTGTTTGTAATGACGAATGGAACAGATGAACGGACATGGTTATCGATACAATGGAATACCATTTGGCCGTATAAAGGAATAAAGCATTAATACACACTAAAACCTGGATGAACCTTGAAACATTAGTAAAAAAATCAGGCACAAAAGACCGGATATTATGATTCCATTCAAAAGTTCAGAATAGAGAAATCTATAGAAAGATTAGTGTCAGCTTAGGCTCAGGGGTTGAGGGTGGAATATAGGGGAGGTTGTATCTAAAGGGTATGGTGTTTCTTTTTGGGGTGATGAAAATGTTCAAAAATTGATGGTGATAGCTGTAGCTGTCTCTAAATATACTAAAGCCACCGCGTGTACACTTGAAATGGGTAAACTGTGTATATGTAAATATATCTCAATAAAGCTAATAAAAATGTTTAAATAAATTTTTTTTAAAGTGATTCAGCCACTCACTAAATAAACAGACATTGGCTATTTGAGATTTGACATGGGGTGTAATGTGCACACTCTGACAGTGTTCTGGGCCCATGTCTCTGTCTCCTGGGATGCACTCAGCAAACTGAAGGCAGCCAGCAAACCCACGAGTCTGTGTGGACTCAGCACACCCCCGGCCACGTGCTCAAATCCCTAGTGCAGGTCAACGCCCACCTCTGCCTCTGGGTCCACACAGCCAGGACCGCTATTACTTTGCACAAACTTCTGCCCCTCCAAATAAGCATTGCTCAAAGCTCAAAAGTAGGAAGTCACCCTGACCACCCCGCCCTCTTTACCTGATCATTATCTGTTTCTTGAACAAAAAATGCTTCTCCATTATCTCCCAATTTCATGTGCAAATCCACAGATTCCCCATTGATTTCTATGTCAACCTGAGGGGAAAACAGTTAAGAAAAGAATGAGCTGCCTTCACCAGAACAGGAGACCCCAGGGGATGGCCAAGTCTCGGTACAGTTATCGCACACACCCTGAAGTGCCACAGGCCTCCCAGTCTCAGCCAGGCCGTCCCATGCAAGGGAACTGTCACCTCCCAGTCTCAGCCAGGCCGTCCCATGCAAGGGAACTGTCACTTGAGCACTGGAGGAGCTCTGGGTTCTGGAGGGCAGGCCCCTGACCAGGAAAGACGGAACCCAAAACAGTAGGTTGGTGCAAAAATAACTGTGGTTTTTGCCGACCGTAATTCCTAATTGCTAAATTACTAATTACTAAAAATAATTGAGGCTTTTGCCATTATTTTTATTATTAAAAATAGTGGACAAAAAGAAAATGGCAAAAACCACAATTACTTTTGCACCAACCTAATGGAAAGTTTCCTCCAGGACCACCCTGGTGTAGCTCCTCGTTTTTTTTGGCTGAGGAGCTGAGGCCAGACAAGAGGTCGCTCGGCTGGTGAGAGTTCAGGCTATAGTCAAAGCTTCCCCAGCCCCAGACATTAGAAATTACACCCTGGAAAAGTCATCACCTATTGGCTGGGATCCTTCAAATATTCTCAATGAAGAGCTTCCGCTTAACTCAAAGGACCAATCATGAGACATCATCCCAAATTCCACCCCGGGTGGGGGTGTGAAGTGTCCATTTGTAAGGATTTCTGTCTCTCCATTTGTGTGGCAGATTGCCTTTTCTAAAACAGGCCACATCAAGATCCCCACCCTACCTGCTCTTCTAGAACCTTTGCCACTCCTGAACATAAACCAGAAATAAAATCCTGAGTTCCCAACGACTGAACGGACCCCCTCTCAGCCAAGGAGATGCCAGAGAAACCTTGAGAACTGAGTTCCAAGCCTTGATGGAATGGGAGGTGGGCCAGGCTTCCTCTTACCCCGCCCCTCACTAACTGCAGTGACGCTTTCCTCCCCAAGGGCCAAACAGAAACCAGCCCTTTTAAATGACTGTGCTGCCGCACTGCCTTTTTTTGCCTGATAAGAGCCCAGGAACTGGTCCTGGCCTGTTGAGAGAGAAAGTGCCCTGAGGGTTTTCCTTTCCTCTGCTCCACCCTTTGATGTCAGACACCAGAAAACTCCGCCCTCAGCTGGTGCCAGCACCAACGCATTTTGAGCGTGGGTCCCATGGAGAGGCAGGAAGCACAGAGCACATGTACATGTTTTCCTCTCCTGAACACTCAGGACTCCTCCCATGGCTTATTAAATATGAAGATTCTGTGGCCCCAGACCGCACAAATCCCTGGTCTCTTTGCACCTCCCTCAAAACCTCTATTTCCTGCTTCTGACCAGAGGCTACCCTTTCCATTGGCCACCCTGAAGGCTGCAACCTAGTTCTCCTCTCCAAATTTATGAACCTCATCCTTCTTCCATTGACACCACCAAGAAAAGCCTATTTCTCCTTCCCTTGAGCCCAGACAGGTTTGTGATGGCCCCAACCAGTGGAGCACAGCAGAGGTGAAGCCATGTGGCTCCCAAGGCTAGGCCATAAGAAGATCCAGCATCGACCGGGCGCGGTGGCTCACGCCTGTAATCCCAGCACTTTGGGAGGCCGAGGCGGGCGGATCACGAGGTCAAGAGATCGAGACCATCCTGGCCATGAAACCCTGTCTTGCAGTGAGTCGAGATTGCGCCACTGCACTACAGCCTGGCAACAGAGTAAGACTCCGTCCCAAAAAAAAAAAAAACAAAACAAAAAAAGAAGATCCAGCATCTGCCTGGCTTCCACCCTCTCAAGATGCTTGCCTCACCACCACCGCTGTCATGGGGCGCCCTGGCAACATGGAGAGGCCATGGGTAGGTGGTATGACCAAGAGCCTCAGCGAAGAGCCCAGCCAAGAGCCAGAATCCACCACCAGTCACACAGAACGTGAGTGGTGAGATGATTCCAGGCCACCTTTGCATTTTCCAGCTGAGGCCCCAGAGAGCAGAGATGAACCACCCTGCTGTGCTCTGCCTGAATTTCTGGCCCAGAGAACACAGGAGCTTAATGAACGGTGGTGAGTGCCACGCTTTAATTACACAGTGATATTAACCAGAATAATTTCAGTTAGTCATTGTCAGTTCCGTGACTGGGCCATTTCCAATGGAAACCTAAAACTCTGGGTCTGGGAGTTCAAGACAGCTGGCACCACCAGAGTGCCAGGGCATGCCAGAGCATTCTCTAAGGAGGGCCGGCGCCAGGTCCCCGCGCACCGTGAGCTCACCACTTTCTCTCGGGAGCGCAGGACCCCCATCTTCCCAAAGCGGACATGGAAAGGGGAGCACTGGAGGTTTCCATTGGGCTGGCGGATGACGATGATGTCAATGCACCCCGACAGCGTGGCGGGGTTTAGCCCCTTGTAGAGCTCCTTCACGGTGACGAACACCTGGCCGGCTAACTGCCCCACGTAATTCATGGTCTGCGCCTGGAAAACAGACAAACAAAACACACACAGACACACAATTAATCCGAGGAAGAGCCAATCAAAATGAACTCCTTACCAGTTCAAAACCGCAGATTACACACTGGACTTTCAGCTCATCTCCTTTCTGGAATGTGCTCCACCCACCCCCACGGCCCATCACAGCCCATTGCTCCAATTCCCACAGCAAGCCCACCAGTCTCCACTCTCCAAAGGCCAGCACAGACAGCCCTGACCCCACGACACCTAATCTCAGTTGTCCCCGGCTCTGTCCTCTCTGCGGTCCCATGAAGCTTATTTACATCATCCTTAGGACCCTGCCGCCTGTCCCTTCTTCTGTCACGATGAACAGGTTTTGCACACTAAATCTCAAGACTGCAGAGAAAAGAGACTATTTCATATGGCTTAGGATTCCCCACGATGCCAATCACAATAGCTATGTGATTATATTAGCTGAAAAACAAACGGCTATTTTTACTGAAGAAGGGAAATTAACGATTTTTATTTGTAACAATTTCCACATGGCCTTTGCCTGCCTGCTTGCCTGCCTGCCTGCCTGCCTGCCTGCCTGCCTGCCTGACTTCTCTTCTCTGCTCCAGGGAACACCAGCACTCTGGGCTGCCAGCCAGCTATCAACTGCAATCCACTCAGCAAACATTCAGGCCATCTCTACAGGGCCTGGCACCACAACACACAGATAAAAAGAAAGTCCCTGTCCCATGGAGGGGCCCACAGGCTCATGAAGGAAGGAGAGGTAATATACAAGGAACTAGCAGGGCATAGTAGCTCACACCTGTAACCCCAGCACTTTGGGAGAAGGAGGCAGGTGCATGGCTACAGCCCAGGAGTTCAAGATCAGCCTGAGCATAGCAAAACCCCATCTCTACTAAAAACACAAAAATCAGATGGGCGTGCTGGTGCGTGCCTGTAGTCCCAGCTACTTGGGAGGCTGAGGTGGGAGGATCACTTGAACCCAGGAGGTGGAGGTTGCAGTGAGCTGAGATCATGCCACTGCATTCCAGCCAGAGAGTGCAAGACCATATATGCGACATATATAAACGTACTGTCAGTTATGCTGACGTATATTTTAGTATGTGTATATATATACATATTATAGTCTGTGTGTGCAAATCTGTGTATATATGTATATGTATACATATCTATATGTATATATGTATAGACATTTCAGTCTCTGTGTGTGTGTGTATATATATATACGTATACATATGTATGTGCATCTATGTATAGACATTTCAGTCTGTGTTCATATGTGTGTATATATATACACATATATATACACACTGAAATGTCAGTGTCACTGAATTTGTTTTAGGTAAACACCAAGGGAGTTATGATCAAGGAAAGAAGGTGCATCACAGAGGAGCTGGTGCTGGAGGCGGGCTTGGAGGAGGACAGGGACACCCTCAGATGTCAGATGAGAAGGCGGACCGGGCACTGCGGGGCAGCAAGAGGTTCATGCAGAGGCATGGAAACTTAAAATGACCAGACTAGAAGAGGGAGCTGTGCCCAGAACAGAGAATGCACAGACAGGAGGGAAGGATGGAGAGTAGGGGGCCATGCCAGGAGATGCTGGCTCTGCTCTGTGAAGCCATCAGATTCCGGAACAAAATGATACTTCGATCCAAGATTTAGAAAAAAGCATTACACTAAGACAGGCAAGAAAAGAACCTGACAGCAGGAAGGTTAGAAGAGAAATGATTCTCGGCCTGGAAAGGAGGGAGAGACAGAAGAAACAGAGGGAAAGGGACAGGTCAAGAGATCTTCCGGGTTCACGGCAGCTGTAGTGCGAGCTGCCGCTGTGCTCTGGCCTCCTTCTCATAGCTCCGGGTCCCTGATCCCCTGGTGCAGGTCCACGCCTGCCCGCATCACTCCACTCTGCCTGGCTCTCCGTTCCCATCCTTCTGCCCTGCCACTGTGCCCTGCTGTGCCAACCGGCAGTCCTGACTGGGCCACAGCACTCAAGTCTTATCCCTGGACCAGGTCATGGGAGGTGGGAGTCCTCTGGTCCTCCTCTCTCCACTCCTTGCTCAGCTTCATGGGGCCACACCACCAACCCTCCTCTGGCCCTTCAGGGACATGGCACCTCTCCATGGTCGCCCCGTCTCTGGGTCCTCTTCTTTTCCAGCTCTGACTTACACTCCAAGGCTGAGTCCTAGACTCTCTTCTCTCCTCTTTATTCACCTGATGTTTTGGTGGACTTGTGAATCCACATGGTTGCAAATATCACCCAAATAAGAAGGATTTGCTTGCATGATGTAACTTCCAGTCCACCCTGAGACCTCACCCCTCCTCCTGGGCCACACTCTGAGACCTCACCCCTCCTCCTGGGCCACACTGTTCCACAGTGTGGCACATGTGACCACACTGTCAACACCCCCACCCCACGTCACCTACAGATTTCAGCAAACACCATGCGTGTGAACCTGTGGCCGACAAACCTGCTATGTAGACAGGCTGGTTCTGGGAGCTTGTCCTAGCATTCAGTGGTGCTGCCGTATTATGATATAATAGGAAATGGACATTTTGGTCTTCATCCCCAGATCCCCAGCCAGAACTCCTAAACCCTTTATAATTTCCTAAGTGATCAGAGTGATAGGAATATCTTTTGTTAAAAATTATATTTGGTTTTCCTCCCCTGCTCCTGAAATAGCTCCTTAGCTCCAGAGCAATAAAGGTGAAAGGAGAATCTTTGGTCATTCATGATAATCCCCCTTCAACCACATGAAAGTTTAATCAGTTCATAACCTTTGCCCACTTTTGACTCAGCTTGTTTGTTTTTTTCCTGTAAATCCGTTTGAGTTCTTTGTAAATTCTGGATATCAGCCCTTTGTCAGATGGGTAAACTGCAAAAATTTTTTCCCATTCTGTTGGTTGCCGATCCACTCTAGTGACTGTTTCTTTTGCCGTGCAGAAGCTGTGGAGTTTCATTAGGTCCCATTTGTCTATTTTGGCTTTTGTTGCCAATGCTTTTGGTGTTCTGTTCATGAAGTCCTTGCCTATTCCTACACTTTACGAAAGAAGACATATATGAGGCCAACAATCATATGAAAAAATGCTCATCGTTACTGGTCATCAGAGAGATGCAAATCAAAACCACAATGAGATACCATCTCACGCCAGTTAGAATGGCGATCATTAAAAAATCTGGAGACAGCAGATGCTGGAGAGGATGTGGAGAAGTAGGAACACTTTTACACTGTTGGTGGGAGTGTAAATTAGTTCAACCATTGTGGAAGACAGTGTGGCGATTCCTCAAGGCCTTAGAAATAGAAATTCCATTTGACCCAGCAATCCCATTACTGGGTATATATCCAAAAGACTATAAATCGTTCTACTATAAGGACACATGTACACGAATGTTCATTGCAGCACTGTTTACAATAGCAAAGACCTGGAATCAACCAAAATGCCCATTGATAATAGACTGGATTGGAAAAATGTGGCACATATACACCATGGAATATTATGCAGCAATCAGAAATGATGAGTTTGTGTCGTTTGTAGGGACATGGATGAATCTGGAAAACATCATCCTCAGCAAACTGACACAAGAACAGAAAATGAAACACCGCATATTCTCACTCATAGGCGGGTGATGAAAAATGAGAACACATGGGCACAGAAAGGGGAGTACTAAACACTGGGGTCTACTGGGGGGAAAAAGGGAGGGCCAGTGGGAGGGGGAGGTGGGGAGGGATAGCCTGGGGAGAAATGCCAAATGTGGGTGAAGGGGAGAAGGAAAGAAAAGCACACTGCCATGTGTGTTCCTACGCAACTGTCTTGCATGCTCTGCTCATGTACCCCAAAACCTAAAATCCAATAAAAAATTTAAAAAAAAAAGAAAAAAAAGAAAGTTTAATCAGAAGAGCGGGGATGGACCAGCTGCCAGAGGAACAAACCAATGATGAGAGTTAGTGCCTTCGGCCACTCCCCCCTCCCCATCCCCACCCCACCCTGCCCCCAACCTTCAGGGACGGAGAGGGGATGGAGATTAAATGTAATCAATGGCAGGTGAGTTAATCAGTCTCACCTGTGTAATAAAGCCTCAACAGAACCCTAAAGAAAGGGGCTCAGAGAGCTTCCAGCTTGGTGAATGCGTGGCAGTGCTGGGAGGCTGGGGTGCTGGAGGGAGCATGGAAACACCACCACCTCCCCCATTGCCCTGCCCTGTGCACCCTTCCGTCTGGCTGCCCTAGAGTTGTATCCTTCATAATAAACCAGTGACGCAGGGCACAGTGGCTCACGCCTGAAATCCCAGCACTTTGGGAGGCCAAGGTGGGTAGATCACCTGAGGTCGGGAGTTCAAGACCAGCCTGACCAACATGGAGAAACCCTGTCTCTACTAAAAACACAAAAAATTAGCTGGGTGTGGTGGCGGGTGCCTGTAATCCCACCTACTCGGGAGGCTGAGGCAGGAGAAACCCTTGAACCCGAGAGGCGGAGGTTGCAGTAAGCCGAGATCACACCATTGCACTTCATCCTGGGCAACAAGAGCGAAGCTCCGCCTCAAAAATAAATAATAAATAAACCAGTGACGATGAGGAAACTGCCTGAGTTCTGTGAGCCCATCCACAAGGGAATGAACCAAAGGAGGGGTCATGGGAACCCCGATTTACAGCCAGTCAGGCAGAAGCACAGGAGGCCCAGACTCGTGACCGGCATCTGAAGTGAGGGATGAGGGACAGCTTGTGGGCTGAGCCCGTACCCTGTGGAATCGGACGCTAACTCCAGGTAGACGTGTCAGAACTGAACTGAATTGTAGGTACACAGGTGGTGTGCTCTGAGAGCTAGAGAAGAGACACACACACATTTGGTGTCAGAGTGTGTATGAGAGCAGAGGAAACTGTGCTTTGCTTGTTCTCTTATAGGCTGCATTCTTAAGGCCAAGGATAAAGCCTTAGTCTTTCAAGTTAAAAAATATATATATATATACCTTTAGTAAATCTTACCACAACGCCTATGAAATAAGCAAAAGTGAGATC